ATGACAGTTTTATTGATGAGGCGTCTTAATTCCAACAGCTGATAAGGCCTGATCAGCGGGTTGGTTAGAGTAGGAATGAATTGCAGTGTGCACTCTGTTGCTCATTTCATTTGTCTCAAGTGTTCATCCTTCAGTAACCGAATCCTCACACTGCTTTCTACCACCACACCGCCCCTACCCCTCTGCATACAACGCCTTCATTTCCCACCAGTAATCTCTTCACCCTAAGCTCTTTAAGTCACCATTAAGCCTCCATTCATTCTTATATAATGATCAAATTCATCCCAGGCCATTTACCTTCAAGGTTTAAGATTTACAAAGGATTAAGAGTTGAAAAATCAATTTGCTTGCACTTGGATGTCAAGTAATCCACTTTGGAAACATGCTGGAGTTACTGCAGCCTATGTGCCACACCTTAGCTGCAGGAGTAGGTTGAGGTTGATTTGCAGTGTAAACATGCGTGGTTTGTCTGGTGGTACACGATCTCGATAAGCACTCTGCAAAAGGTTTTGATTATTATTATTAAATCTGTTATTTAGACACTCACCTTACACATCACGCGTGATTCATTCACAAATAAAGAAAAGCAAATGCAAGGTTAGTTCAAGATAAATAAATATAACCTTTTAAAATGTTTCTATTAAATCGGGGAATGTAGTTTCCTAGCTTTTTGCAGCTCTTTCCATTTATTGACAGCAAAGTATTTAAATTCAGTTTTTCCAGTGCAGTATGTGAACAAGAAGTCCAGCTAATGTTAAAATTATTAGCAGTCCTGGGATTGGACATCGTAATTACAGTGTTTAAATTTAATTAAAGAGCATATGCAAGCAAGGAGTTTTTACAGTAGGACAGTAAATACAATCATAGAATGATGCTATCTTTTCTAAGCTTGTTCATGTAAAATATATAAAAAACAATCCCCACTGTGATACACACAATCAAGAGGACTTAAGGTAGATGAAGAAGCTTGCATGTAAACAATATCCCCATAGTCAAGTGCAGACAGATTGCTTAATGATTTTACGACTGCTGAATGAGAAGCAAGATTTGTTTATCTGCAAAAATCCAATTTTTGATTTTGGCTGTCTTGGTCCACGTGGGCCTAAAAACTGATTCCAGCATCCAGCCACTGTTGTAAAAGTATTTATAACAACAGATTCAGTTTTATGACCATGAATGGTTTGAATATTGACTATAGAGCTGATACTTCTTTATCTCCTCCAAGGAGGTTATGTGGTCTATCTGTTACTCAAAAATAATTCAATTCAATTCAGTTTTATTTGTACCAACAACAGTCACCTCAAGGCCACTGATGTTGTGCTTATATACAGTTGTATACAGTTGTTGTTGTTTTTTAAAGCTGGTAAAAACCAAAATGAACCATTCCACCTACCAACCTGCATAAGTCATAAACCTAAATAGAGTCCAGTAACATTATCTATATGGTTATTGTAAAGCTGAAGCTGGTTTACTATTCAGCTATTCACCATTTTTATTTTGTTGTTTGTTAGGTTTATTTATGATCAATTTGCTGTTACTTAATAATAGTTATTATAATGTGAGGGCTTGAGTACATCAAGATCTGCTGCGTTCAGGATCTAGCATTTCAGTTTATTTTTCTTTCATTTATCCATCTGTTAATCTATAGGTGCATTTCTATTATATCCATGGGAAAAAATATTCTTCACCATTTGTTTCTTATTCACCCCCTCTCCCCTTTAAAACAAGGGAAAGGACTGAACCAAAGCCAGAGTACAATATGAGCCAAACAGTGAGTTAGAGAGTTGTTTTACCCCCAGGTAGCTGACACCTTTGTTCAAATTGAAAGGTAAAAATGTGCTAAAACAGATTCTTTTACCATTTTCAGAGGATAAATTACCATGTGGTGTATTCATTAAAAGAAGAGCCTTCATCTGGTGGTTTGAAAAAGCAATTTAATAGCTTCTGTGACATGTTAAGCACCTTTCTGACACAGACATGCCAACAAAGTGAATATTGTATCACTTTATTGATGTGTTAACTGCAGCCATCAAGTTTCACCTTACTTTCAGCATCACTCAGAATACAGGACTCTTTTCCAGCCAGCAGGAAGGTAGATACACATGACATTTTGCTGTAATCCTGGAGTCTTTCCAAGGAAATGCATAAAGCTAATTGCCATACAGAAGAGGGGGTGGGAGCGTAATTTGTCCTAATTTTCAGACTGCTGCAGGTTGTTTTATTGTGTATGACAGTGTCCATGAGGCTATGACTTTTGGAAGGCATAAAGGCCATTTTATTGGAAGACCATAAATCTCTGCAAGCCAGTCTGGACACAAAGTTATAACAAGCTGTGAGGATTATCTTAGAACTACCTCCCATAAAGAGAATTTTTATACATTCAGCACAAGGTAAGAGCAGAGTCAGAGTTTTCTGTCTCAGCCTATGCATAGGGGGAATACAGTCTGGAAAGAAAGTAAAACCGTGAATTTACAATTTACTGCATTAACGGTGTGGTGTTAGGTAGAAGCAGTGGGCTATTGGTAATATTCATAATATATCAGATAATGGGGTTGGAGAAACATAAATTTGCTGTTTAGAGGTTATATACAGTAATTGCAAATATGATATCTCTGAGAGGATCTTTCATTCAGCTCAGAGTAATTGTGATAAAATATTAACTGATCTGTAGACAGCTAATCAAAGCAAATGATCACTGATTTCAACCCCAGTCATATAATGTCCAAAGTAAACTGCAATCGCATAATAACACAATAATAACAATAACAATATGTACTTGAAAAAAAGTCCAGAATTTGTTGAAAACATAACTACTGTACATGAATTTTGTAGTTTTTTAAAAATATGTAAACCACAGTGGATTTTAATTAAAACAATTGATATGTAACCAAAATGCAGATTTTTAGCTTGATTTATTTGTTTAATTTTTGTTAACGAATCGCAGCCATTTGAATACTTAGTCTTCCATTTGCACAGACTCAAGTAACAGGGACTGGATGACTGCCTGTCTAATGCTATGTTTCCTCCTCTGAGATGCTCTGCCAGGCCTATACTGCAGCCACCTTCAGTTAATGCTTGTTTGTGGCTCTGTCTGTTTTGTACATAATAACTGAAAGCATTCTCTACTGGGTTGAGATCAGGTGACTGACTCGGCTATTGAAAAATGGCCTTGAGAAACTCTTGGGTTGCTTTGTAGTATGCTACAAGTCATTATCCGTTTGCACTGTGAAGCACTACCTGATCAGTTTTGCACTATTTTTCATGATTCATCTTGGTGCTTCTATCAGCAGTCACATCAACAAACACGAGCAGTCCAGTTTCATATGCCCATGCCATAACATTACCATGATCCACCAAATAATGTGGTATGCTTCAGAACAGGAGCTGCTGTTCTCTCCTTCTCTATACTTTTCTCTCCCCATCATTCTAGTACAAGTTCATCTTGGTTTCATTTGTCCAAATATGTTTTTCAGATCTGTGCCTGCTCTTTTAGGTGTTTTCTCAGAAAATCCAATCTGGCCTTCCTGTTCCTGAGTGTAACCAGTGGTTTGCACTTTGATTGTCTAAACCATCTGTATGCCCATTTTTGAAGGCAGGTCTTGATTGTAAACCTCGGCAATAATATGCTTACCTCCTCGAGTGTTCTTGACTTGTTAGATGCTCTGAAGTTGCTTTTCTCCCAAACCTTTTGCTATCTCTCTGTTTATTTTGTTGTTTCAACCTAATTATGGTCTCGCTCGCTTGCTGTGACACGTCTTTGCATCTACAGTATATTTAGGAATTATAAGCATATAGAGAACAAACTTGATTTGACTTCATATTGAATAATTTAGCTTTGAAAAATACTTTTTTTTTTTTTTTTACAGAAAATATGGTACATGATTCACCTGAAAGTGCACATTTATCAAATAGAGATGAAAAGGATTTGTTTGATTTTAACCTGGAAAATGAGTTCTGTTTGGCCTTTTTATATGCAAAAGTTTAATAAAAAAAGTTAAAAATTCCTGTTAATATGATGAAGTTCTTAGTCATCATAGGGAATGTCACCCCAAATGCTCATAACACTTGATAATTAGAAGGTAGCGGTGAAAAGCTCAACAAGATGCCTCAAAAGGCTTCCCGAGAGAGTTATATGAGCTGCTGGTTTTATGATTCCCTAGTGCACAAAGGGCACTGCTTGAGCAGTTAATTTGCGTAAAGGATGAAGGGCACCATGTGAACTGCTGTTCACGTGGTGCCCTTCATTAGCTCACAATGACTGTTTAGCAGACATTATTTTTATTTCTGCATTTGTTTCTGCTAAATATATATAATTATATGTAAAACCGTTTCTTCACTAAAAAAAAAGTAAAAAAACAAACAAGTAAAGAGCATGTAAACACGCCTTCATGCATCAGTAATTACATGCACATACAAACACACTGGCTTTGATTAAGGTTTGATACGTTCTGAGAAAAGCAGGCAAATGATATTCCACAGCAAGCCGTTTATTAATATTAATTTGAAAGACAGCAGGAAATCTGTAGTTTTTATGTGTTCGGTAAAGCCCTGTGAACTGTAAACCACACATGTAAGTGACATTTTTTATGACTCTCTACAGAATGGATGTCCTATATATTTTTAAGGTCTGCCTTTCTATGCCAAGAATAAATTATAGTGTTTACTGATTTATTCATTTAGTCATTGTTCACCAGTGGTTGCATTTCTTGGTCCTCTACTCTGTCTTAACAATATATAGGTATATAAAACGCAGTATATCATACATATGTGATCAGATTTTTTCCCTTGAGAATATGCACAAGGCTTCATGGCGTACGGGGGTAGTGGGTTGACAAGGCATCACGGTTTTGTTGTGTTTTTAATAAAGCATTGTCTGTCAGGGAGATTAAAAGACACATGCATGGGCGGCTTTTGGTTCGCTATCTGACACTTTGTGGCTGCTATTGAAAACTGATGATACACACCTTCACAGCTGGTAATCTGTTTGATCTGTTTTCTAGGTGATTCTCATGTTGACAAAATACTACGACTTTAACTCTGGCAGAGTAACGGAGAGTTCTTTATGGAGGTAAGATCTCCTCTCTGATATTACGCTCTGTAGTTATATAGCAGGACACATTGATGTTACTGTTATGTTGATGTTAATGTAGTTGCACACTGTTTGGACCCTTGGAGAAATCAGCACAAAAGCATTAACACTGAATCATTAACTTAATGTCATTGTTGTGTCCACAGTGACGCAAGTTACTTTCCTGTCAGTAAAAGGTGAAAGATTTAATTTCGTGTAATAGAAGTTGGTAAAGTCTACACTTTGTCATCAAATGCTGAATCTATCCATTTCCACATATTTATGACAAGCATTTAAATTTTTGTTGTTATTAAAAGAAGTGCCCATTAAAATAAATGTTGACAACAAAGAATTTAATTAAATGGGAGGAACAAAAATTACTGACAGAATAGTTGAAGGATGAAGCTTTAGCTTATCGTGCCTATCCTTTATACAGAGCAAATTTGAAATGGCAATGCTTTTCTAACTCGATTTCATTGAAACAAAAACCAAATGAAAAATAATACATTTGAAACAAATGGTAAACAAGGACAAAAGCGAATGTTTCACAGACAATAGTAATAAGGTTTTACATTTGTTCATCACCTGGTTTTTGGAATTTAAAAAGAGAACTACACAATCTTAATTCCTTGTCATACCTATTCCACAATGGTTACACCTATTTGATTTAACCTTTGAATACAGTTTGGAGGTAGATTATTTTGTGCTTTGTATATTACCAGTGCAGTGTTGAGATGGACTGAATAGTAACATTTTAAGGCATGTAGTTTAATGAATAGTTGCATGGTTGGTTTATGGTTGGTTTTTAAGTCCTGTAGTATTTTTCCCCTGTACCATACGCACTGTATTAGCTCTTGTTTTGAATGTGTTTCTCCACACCTCCACACAGTAAGTAATGCACAGTATGTATAATGATTTTGATTTATGTAAAGTTTTATGTATATTTAGTTTTGGACCTTCATATTTTTACATTGTTTATATTCGCCTAACAAGTGAAAGTTCAATCCCTTTCAACTTTGGGAACATAGATCTGTTTGGGCTTGTGTCAAGAACGGCATCTGTCGTAACAAATCTGCCAAATCTGACATGTGGAGTTACCCGCTGTGGCGACTCCTTTGTGGATAATGGAGCAGCCAAAAGTGGTTTTCATATGAACCTTCCAACATCATTTATATACAATTATCATGCCCGGAAATACATTTTTCTTGCCCTCTTTATACTTATAAATTTACTTTTTTTATTTGCCTGTTACAAAACATCCTCTGCTTTATTTTGCTTTAATTTAGTGATAATATATTTTTTTAATTTCAGCCATTTTCTTTCAGTTTTCTTTCCACTATATTGTTCCAAGTGTTCCTAGGGAAATATAAATTAATCATCAGCAAATGAAGTGAATTTTAACAATTCAGACATGTTACATGTCATTTCTATACAGCATGTTATGTTGGTGTTTAATACAGTCATCAAGAACTGAAGAAACAAAGTGATTTCCTAGTTATTATCATTCTTAGTTCATGAAGTTTTGTGCAACATTTCAGTGCATTCTCTTGCCAGGATATCAAATACTGGTGTTTATCCTCTAAGACATCCTAAATCCACAAGTTTTTTTTGTATTATGCGGTGCAACGGCTATTTTTTACTGAAATGTCACCAACCACCTAAAACCGATATCTATTTTGGTGAAAATAATAGGTATTCAAAATGAAATCTGAAATAGTGCCTTTGTTTTGAGATGAAAAAATGACTTCAAAACCCCATTATTAAGCTTTCAGGCAAATATGTCCTTCATTTGATTTCTAAAACACGACAGAGTGGTAATTAAATGTAAGCATCAATAATAACACAATAATAACACTTATAATACCACTACTAATTAAAAGGAATAATAATATCATGCCCCAGCCACACATGCAACACTGGATTTATTGTTTATTTTAATAATTAAAAAAATCTCCATTCATTTAGCAAATTGCTTCACGACTTCTGCTGTGGTAATTTTCTGCTTCCCTGAAATGCTTAATGATACCATCAGCATCTTAACTAGTAGGTGTTGCGCTGTTCTTCTCTTCTCTCCAGCAAAACCCATTTACTTTGTCCTGTAATTGAATTTTAGGTCAACTGATTATGGGACCACGTATGAAAAGCTCAATGAGAAAGTCGGGACAAAAACCATACTGAGCTACTTGTATGTCAGTCCAAACAACAAGATGAAGGTAAGTGTGAACGTGCATGTCGTGTACGTGGATTCATAAGTCTGTCAGCAGGGTTATTATGATCTTTACCCTACACAGCCCTGCAGGAGTCTGTGCCTTGCGTCTGTTGCACAAGCACTCTTTAAGCCCTGTGGAATGGATGCTGTCATGGTGGGCTGCTGATTCCCCTGTCTCTTCTCTTGTCTTGTCTTAGATCATGTTACTGACCGACCCAGAAGTGGAGAGCAGCTTGCTCATTAGCCTTGACGAGGGGGCGTCCTATCAAAAATACAGCTTAGCCTTTGATATCCTCAGCTTGCTTTTTCACCCCGAGCAGGAAGACTGGATCCTGGCTTACAGCCATGACCAAAAGGTAGAGTGTAGCTGTCAGATGGCATGAAATAGTTGCAATAAAATCTGAAAATGTGACAGAAAAACATCTCCATATGAGAATGTGGGCTGTTGTATACAGATTACTTGCTGCTTTTTATTCTTTTGTTACTTTTACTTGAATGTTCTGCCAGACTGAAGTCACCGTGGGGTCACATTGCAAGTAATCTCTCTATAAAATGATACAGAACATAGGTTGCCTTCATGGCCAGATGCATTCATTTTAATGCCAACGTTAACTCTCATAACATGGTCTTCACAAGCACAGATATCTGCCGCTTCTGCAGCCCTTAACAGGTCATAAGGTGCAGCTACAGACAGCTCTGAATGGATGTGTCCTCAGAAAGCACAGGGGAAAGTTAACAAGTTAGACACGCCCAAACAATGCACAAACTCACTCACACACAATAGCGAGCATAAACACACACCCTCCATTACTCTGTGTGAGAACCCTGCTGTCTGCTTTACTCAAAACCAGAGGCATCAAACTCGGACTCCCAGCCTGCTATTGGAAGACTTGATTTTCAGAGAGAAAAACAGTCAAGGTCTGAGAAGTGAGATAAATGATGCAGGGAGGAAGATGAAAGCTGAGTTGAGAGCCACAGATGGGTCAAAATAAAGATGCTCCAGAGACGTTTGCCTTTAGGTCATTCTGTATGTCTTTGTAAAGCTACATTTCAGTGGTTTTCCTTGTTCCTTTTATCGCAGCTATAGCTGGGTTTCATTTTACATTTATTGATTGCCTGTCATGTCTTTTAAAAGTTGTAAGTACTTAGATAACTCAAAAATGATATTGCTGATCCTTGTAAGGCTGAGAGCTTAAGATGCACGCTGCTCAGTCATTAAGGAGAGATGACAGGCTTTCGGACTGCTTGAACACAAGTAAAATGGCTTTATGGAGAAAAATTACAATGACAGCTACAAGACGGATTTTAAGATGTCAGGTAGGAATCCTGCTGTCTTACTTTAAGAACAAGACGCTGTGGTTTTTAACTCAGAGACCACTTTGTATATCACTTCCCTCTTATTTAAGCCATCACAGTAGATATACACCATTCCCTGTTTTATTTTTAAAATCTGGCTTCTAAGGGTTGCTGCATTTTTACATGAACTGGTGGATCTCCGCATAAAGCATGCACTTAGTAGTGCTGTATTTTTTTAAAAAAACAACTAAAAATCTTAATGCCACAAAATTTAAAGATTTGGCAGCTGCTTGGAAAAGAAGTTGGACATAAATCTTGAAATAATCCTTTTGGAGATTCTGAAAAAAAATCATCTTTATACTGTACCTCATGCCGTAGACATTTGATTAATGCCTTCCCATTTTTCAGCTCTATGTCTCCGTTGAGTTTGGAAGAAGATGGCAGCTTGTGCATGACAATGTCGTCCCCAACAGATTCTACTGGTGAGATCAACATCCAGTCATTTGTCATTCTGGTAGAAACATGCTGCATTATTTTCACACAAAATATGTAAATTGAGTTGTGTGCATTTTTAGCACTCTGCTCACAACAGTAGTACAGAGGGGAATGATCAGTCAGCAGCTTGTTTTCAGTAATGACAAAGAAAACAAAACATTAATTTTATCAAGTCAGATTTAAACCTAACATCTAGAGTCTCAAGTGTGCCATTTTTTAAAAAGTTTTAGCTCGGGCCTGCCATTTTTATTTTGTCTTGTAAAGCACTTTGTGGCTTTGTTTTCAAAAGTGCCATGTAAAGCATTTTTTTAAATAAAGATCTTTGTAGGAAGTGCCTTGGGTTATAGAAAAAACAACATGTTTGCATTTGTCCTTTCAGAAATGGTAAAAATGAATTAAACTTAAAGCCTTTTTCTTTAAATAGCAAATGCCAAGCAAGGTTTCCAGGAAGGCAGAGCTTGGCTTGTATTTATAAATATTTTATATTTGCTTGTCGTTCTTTTTATTTTTTACATAATGCGCTGTGTCTAGTTTACACACACTTATAAATATTTGATCCACCGAATACAGTCTCCTCATGAAATATTTTTGGCATATTTTTGGATTACCATATTATGTTACAAATCAGGGCTTACCCGAACATTATCCATCAGGTTTTCTTTTTTTTTGGTTTCCTTTCTTTCTTTCTTTCTTTTTTTGCATGCATGTACCTGATGCATAGAGTCAGGACTGAGGTTGTGTCCTGGGGCTTTTGAGCTTCTCTTAGGAACCGATACAGGGACTATGGTCGCTGATATGTGTTAAATTTATGACAGTTTTTATAGTAGCTGGCTTCACACTCTTCTCTAAATAAATAAATAAATAAAGCCATATTAATCAGGAAGTTTGAAATGACGTACAGTGGAGTGATCTGCAGGTTTTTGTTAGTCTTAAATCATGTTGACAATATTATGGTAAATACAAATCTGTAGGGAAGAGGTAATGACTAAGTAGAATTCAGGGAAAGTCATGAAAAAGGCATTTTAGTGCCTTGTTTAATGATGCTGATATTTTTATCCTCAAGCCTCATTGCTTATGGTTGTTCAGGAGAAATAGTTAACTTTCTAATTTGTTTTTTCTAGTCAATACAATTAAATGCAGAACGATGGACATCTTTGGGTTAAAGGTACTTCAGTTTGCAGCTAGGTTGGAAAATCTTCATAAGCTAAAACTGCTGCATGAAGTAAGCCCACAGGATTTACTGTGTGTGTGTGAGTTCGGTATTTATTGTGTCAAACTCCCAGCCCACAAGGACTTAAAATACACTAAAAATACAATTTGCAGTGGTGAAGGAGCTTGTCACACAAAAACATTTTATTGCCAACACAGAAATCCTGTCCCATGTTCAGGGCTAAAACACAGCATTATATTAACCAGCCTTCTACAAGAGTAGGTTATAATCCCTTTATAATGATGTGTAAAACATAAAGTAGACTGGATCTTTCCATGTAACCTACATAATGAACTACACCAGTACTGTACAAGGTCTTTCATAATTTTCCTATAGACTATAGGCTATTTTTCACTCATTTTCAGTCCAGTACTTTTAGAGAAATGTTACGTAACACTGACCTAATTATCATCTAAGGATACCAAAAAACTAACTGAAGGGATGAACCAGTCAACTTGACAAATAAACAATTTTATATTGTATCTTTAGGCACTTTGTTACTAAATCCTCTCTCAAACACATTAGTTCCCATTTCTTGAGCTAAATATGTGATACATGTCAAACATAAAGCAGTTTTACAAATGAAATTGTATGTTTGCACCAAGTTGATTGCCAAATTAGCTGAAAAGTTGCCATATCTCGATGTAGTGTGCAGTGTGTACAGGTGTAGTGCAAGGATGGGCCAAACTAATTTGGGCTGGAACTTGTAATCACATAAAATGCATGTGTTTGATACTATTCTACCACTTCTGTTTATTACGAGTGAATACATGCACATGCATAATGTATGAAAACAATACCTGATCTATCACCATTGTGAAGACCATCATAGAGTATTCACTCTCTTAAATACTGACATTCAAATTGTAACTAAATAAATAATATAATAAAAGAAAGAAAGCAAGTTTATCCTCACTGTATGTACTCAATTATCAGTGTTTTCATAGAATTCACATTTAGCCTTTTGTGCATTTTAATACATTATTCTGATCATTAAAAATTAAAAACAATATTCTTATGGGCAGTCAGAATGGGCTCATTGTAGATGTGGGTGGGCCCTCTCCCATTAGACATTAAAAAATGATGAAATGCAGAATCTATGATCTAGAAAGCATCTGACTGACAACAGCTTAATTTTTCAGCATTAAAATGATCCCAAACACACAGTGAAACACGGTCAGTTATGAGTGGCCTCCCCAGATCCAGCCAAAAAACAGCCAATATTCAAAGAAAAGCTTTAAATGTCCTTCAATAAGCATGGAAAACTATTCAAAAACATTACAAGATAGCTTGCCTAAGAGGGTTCAGGCTGTGGTGAATGTAATCCTACCAAATATTGACTTTCAAGCTTGTTAGAAATGTGTTTTTAGGCAGTTTACCTTATACACTGTAGATCCATGTATGTTTACTGCACCTGTTCCACATCCCCTAGCAAAATATAAAGAAATGAGGGGCAGCTGAACATTTTTGCACAGTAGATTAGTATATAAGTACACATGTTTGACTTTCAAATTCTTTCTTACATGAGACTGCAGCTACTCTTCAGCAGAGAATGTGTTCATAATTTAGGTTTGTACAAGACATCAGCAGATGGTCTTTCTTCACAAATCACCAAAGGTTTGGTGTGAAAATCACTCATAACAGTTGTTTGTTTTAAAAAATAAAAACCAAAAACCAAATAAAGAATTCACCTCACTAACACAGAAGCGTCAATGCAACAAATCCTAGTTTTAAAGATACGTTTGATTCCCCCCCCCCCCCCCAAATCATCTGGAACAGTGAGTGATGCCAAAGGATTAATCAAAAATCAAATTTACAGTGCTCAAATGTGTAAGCACATCCTTTTGTCTTTAAGGAAATACATAACCCAAATATGCAAGAAAAAAGCATCCCACACTGCTCAGTTTAAGATGATTTACAAAAGCATATGGTAACACTTATCGTGAATTCATGACCTCTTGCATACTGATATGAAAAGTTGAATATGATTTATTTTCTGCTGCTATTTATCATTTGCTTTGCTGTGTTAAAGAAGGACAAGGCTGCCTCTTTATCGGAAAGGCCAGGCTAAAGATACGAAGAATGAAAGCTCTGATATGTAATTATAACATTTGGAATTCAACCAAAATCGCTCAATGCCATTACTTCAATTTCTTTAGCCCATCCTACACCATGATGAAGACATTAACATGATTTGATAATTCACAAATCTTTGCCATTAAAATTCCCTAAGTTGTTGCGTTAGATACTATTAATTCAGGTATGTTACTTATAGTTCTGAAGGTTTTAATCAAATATTTTAATCAAATGTGTTTACTCAACCACAAAGCGGTCTATGAATTCCTGAAAGGTCTTGCGTCCTTGCTGTAAAATGCTACCAAAAGGCGTTAGTTATTGGGGAACATAGTGTAACATTGCAGGGGTTATTTAAGACCAAGTGCTGCTGTTCACTGATAGAATTGGATGAAGTATTTGACAGAAAGTCCATTAAAAGAGATGGAGCTGTGAGGCAATTACAGAGTGCTGAGGGAAGCAGGATTGGAGCTTTTTATATTGTAGTTCAGACACAGTATGGAAAATGAGAAGAAAACCCATCTTCTGTCACAACAGCTGCTATTAATACAAGAAGTGGTCACTCCAGCCACTCTTCACTTAACCGCTACCGTGAAGAATCTGTAGTGAAAGTGAGTAAGTGTCAGGTTTCGTAGATCGGACTCACGCGCAGACCACTAGTGTCTTCAAAAGGTGCATTTATTTACAGTGTTCCTCTACAGTGGAATTCATATATACATATAATGGTGTCAAGGGAAAAGGGGCCGGGGTTCCATGGTCCAGGAGCGAAAGAGGCAGGAGTCCAGGAAGGGAAGGTTTTCATTCAGCCCTCGCACATCTCCTCTCCTTTCCTCTATCTCTCTTGCTTCCGTTCAGTCGCCATGCACAGGGAAAGAACAGGTCCAGAGGCGATCTATACACAGGCAGAAAAAAACCATTAGTTTCCTGGTTCAGACAGGCTCACAAACTGACTTTACAAAATACAGGACGACTGACGCTGATGGCTCAACGATCCAGCGACGAGTAGAGCAGACTCGCCCTCTTAAGAAGGGTTCCAATCTCTTATGATCAGCAACAGATGTGCTGATCACCTCCAGGTGTGTAGGCCAGGGGCAGGAGCCCATACTGAGCTCCGCCCCGGCAGGAGAAAGAGAGAATGGAAGAGGGAGAGAGAGAAGGGGAAACAAAAACAAAGCACCTGACAGCTGTCAGCTGTCGAGGAGCGGAGACCATGACAGTAAGATAGCTAAGTATACTTTACAGATAACGAGTGGTACAGGCCAAACGACCCATCAGGTCTGTAGTTATGGTTGCTATGTTGTTGCTCCTGGAAAATGAAACCCTAAAAATCGCCACTGCTCCTTCTCTTATTTCTCATGACCACTAATGAAATTTAAATGACAACCAACTAATCTAAGACAAATATTGCACTTCTAAGAGCATTAAAAACCCCCCACCAATTACTGTGAGCTCAATGCGCTTACTAAGGAGTTTTCTCAGTTTTCTTTGTTTCTGTTACAGCCTGATTATGTACAAGGCTCCACTTTATTCAAATATATTCAGTGCTTTTTGTCTCGCTATTTTACTAAGCTACTTGTTACAAAACACTGAATGTTAAAATTGGGGGACCTACAATGAAAGCCTAATTTAGGGCTTCAGGAGTCCCAAAATAATTTATTAAGGGGATAAAATAAAAATGAAAAAAAAAAGAAAATTCTGCCTGTTCTTTAAGTTAAACTAACTTTTAATCCTTTGCAAATGTATGCAAGTCAGTACAATTATATTAATATGTAAATAAGTTATTTCTCAGTTGGCATTAGTTGTTCTCGTGCAGTTTATGAAAAAAACCATGAACTGCATGAACATATGCAGCAACTATCAGCACTAGTGGTGACAAAAAATAGTAATACTCCAATTTAAATGTAACAACTTCTTGATTTTGGAACTACTGGGAATAACTGGGAATAACTGTTTAATACATAACTTAAATTCGCATGCAGTGTAATGCTTGCTGCTTTATATTTTATTGTCAGTCTGTATAGCTTTGGAGGAATCACACCAAAAAAATCTGATAAAATATAAATAATATAAAAGCTGATATTACTTCTGAACTCTTTAAGTCCTTCATCTCAGACAGCCTGTTGTCTTCTGATTGGCCAACTGGAAGCCTGGGCAGCTCCAGGTGCTTTGGAGCAATATCACATCTGTTTGGCAGCGTGGAGTTTCCAAATACACATATGTGTGTATAAAAGATAGATGTACCCAGCATGTCATTGTTTTCTGTGCTCTGTGTTTTGAAGCCTCATTTTGGCTGCTGCCGTGTTAGTTTTTGGACCCAGAAGAGACCAGATTTAGAGAAGAAAGCAAAAGTTTAACAAACCACCACCACAAACTTACTGGACAGACATGTGTACCTGCTAATTTGTTTTGTAGCACACTAGTAAAATACCAGAATTTAACTCTTTAACACTAAAGGGCAAATTTCTAAACCTTCTTGCACAAGCTGTACCACAGCCATAATGTCAGTCAGGTTATTTCATGAAAATGCTCCAGAAGACACTAGCAACAGACAGTGGAGGGCTTGAGTCTGTGACTATAGTGTTCAGCAGACTGCATCAGCACACATCAGTCAAAGCAGCCACGCCCAGAATCCAGAAGGATGAGTTATAAAGACCCAGTATATATTTGTTATGATGGAGGAGACTACCTCTAAAGACAAAAAACAGTGTATTATGTATTTTCTGTGCCAGGCTGTAAACAAGGTTTTTATTGCTTCTAAGTTGGCCATTTTGCTATAGCAGTCTGTGGGGACTGACTCGCTTCAAGTGGCCTCGGTAGTTTTTTAAACACTTTTGTGTTGGATTCTTTTTTCTAGCCTGGAGGTTGTAAACCTTCTAAACAATGTACATTGTTATTTACAACTTTTTAATATTCATGTCAGAGCCAGAATCAAATATGATTAATCAAAAAACCCATTGCTACAAACATGACATGAACATTTTTTCCTGCATCTTCATAGAGATTAAGTAAGCTTATCACAGATTTCTTTTATATAGATTTCTCCATATATTGCTTGTGATTGAAACTTCAGTGTTATATCATACAGTCAGCTGGTAATTAGCTTAACCAGTCTGTTTTGAAGCATAGATGCCCTGCTGCTGTCCTTGTTGCTGCAGATCTTCTCATATACCAGACTGAATTTGAACATGTGAGAGTAGATTGGAGAAATTGCCATTTGTAGTTAAGAACAAGACATTTGTGTTCATCTCTGTTTTTACATTTTGCTCTTGGAATCTCCTCACCAGGAACAGGAGGAGGCAGTGCTCACAAGCAAAGGATGGTAACTCACTACAGGCACCGGAAAGCTGGCCAGTCAGAGCACAGTAGGCTTATAGAGAAGAGGTGGGGCTCAATGAGCCCAGAGCTAATATCACCTTTTTCACGAGGAGGCTTCAGCAAAGCCCATACATCAGACGAAAGTGGGCTTTTAGGCAGCCTGTAGCTCTTATATGTGCTTCAGAGTAAGAAATAAATGAGGAATTCTTCAGACAATGTGAAACGTTCACTTTTCTTAAGGGTCACGGGACAGACACTGATTATAAAACAAAAAGTAATGTTTATCATGATGTTACAGGTCCAGACTGGGCTTGGACAAAGAACAAGGAATGATTCATCTGGAGATCAGCGTCTCTGATGGGCGTGAGTAATAACAACATGTTACCTTAGCAACACAGAAAAAAAAATTGATTTATCACAATTTAGTTTAACAATGTTTTTTTTAATATAATAAATATATATGAATAATTTCATTTAAGTATATTATTATTATAGTGAGAAACAAAGAAAGTAGTCAGTGCTGAAATTCTTCTTCCCATCTGGCTACATGAAGTCTTCATACAGTCGAGCTTATTCATTTTTGAAGGGCTGGGCTGTGACTTGGCGCACTCGGCTCGACTTTCTTGGCCACAATGCAGAGAGGGGGGCACTTCCATAAGGGCCTTGTGTGTTAATGCCCTATCTCTGTAGAGAGTACTTCATTTGGCTGATGTTAACAAACTGGGACAGCTCTCTCTACTTTATCTATTAGTAAGAATATTGGCTTCCAAATTTTTGCTTCTATGCTTCACTTAATACTATGAGCATAGGCACTGCTAAGCTTTTACTGTGGGCTACAGAAGGTTGTTTGTTCCTGTATTATGTTGTCTTTTTAGCACTAATTTCTTGCTTACCCACAGGATCGCAGTACATAACTTGTAAACTTCAGAATTGCTCTGATGGAAACAAGAGCAAACCTTTTCCTGGGTTTATCATCCCTGATTCCCTTGTGGTTCAGGATGAATACGTTTTTATCCAGGTGGGTTTTTATTGTGAGGTCTGGTTTCATTAAAAGACAATTAAATGCTGTAAAACCAATGTGTTCACTCTTGTCTTAATGTACAGTCATGTTTTTCATTAACTAAAAGGGGCCATTATCCTGTGAAGGGATGGGGTAAAAATTAAATTGCAGCGTTGTGTATTACTACAATGCCACTCTGGCATGATGCACAACAGCCTAATTAGCAACAAACCCAGAGTTTTGATGGCTGCATAAATTATTTGACCCGAGCTTCGGGCAGTTAGTGTCTTCATTTATGTTTATGGATGTTTACTATGGATAAATGTACTCTATTCTGCTTTTGTAGGTGCCAGTAGGTGGCCAGTCTGTCCATTATGTGTCCTATAAACGAAATGCTTTCTACCCGATGAAGCTTCCCAAGTACACTCTGCCAAAGGTAAGGTAACTGGAAAGGATGCAGTGTTTGATTGAGAAGAACAAGTAACATTAATTTAACTATGAAACATTTATTCCTCTGGGATATTTTGTTCTATGATTATAAGTTTTAGTTGGGTGATTATTTCCAAATACTTTCATCAAGTTTGCTTCCAGTATTATTTACTGACGGATCCATTAAATTGTTTTCTGTGCTTTAATCTCCTGAAAAATGATATAGGATTGCATAATTATGTCTCTGTTTATTTAATAGCATTGCACTGATTTTCAGTTTTCTCATCTATATCTACTTCGCCTAAATTACATTTACTTAAAGCAAATCTGGAGTTCCCGAGGGCTCCCCAAAATGTTCTGAAGCAGAAAATGTCAATTTAGCATCTGCACAAAAATGCACTGACTTCCATTTACTGCAAGCACAGCAGGGTGGCTTAGCAGTTTGAGAGACTGTGTTAGAACAACAGGAGAGATTTAGTTCCTGCAGTGTTGTTTCAATAAATCTATCCATCCTGCCTTGTATTCTGTGACCATTTTTTCTGGGAAGGGCACATCTTGTGCACCATGCTGGATAAGAGATTCAGTAAAATTAAAAGGAGCTTGGCTTCATTTTTAGTGCACAGCGTGAAATGCCTTAGGTTTAATTGCTACAGACCCAGACTGAGTGATGTCAAGAAGTGACAAATTGTTAGCTCGCAGCTTTGTGCACATCGCTAAGCGGATTTACACTTACTTGTTCTTTAAGCCATTTCCTAAGAAACATATTGGCAAATGAGTAGTTAAGTAATCCACACAGAGGCATCCACTCATGAATTCTGCTTATTTAGGACTTACAGATAATCAGCACAGACGATAACCAGGTGGTGGCAGCGATTCAGGACTGGCACCAGAATGATTCCTACAACCTGTACATGTCTGAGTCCAGAGGGCTATTCTTCACCCTGATGCTGGAGGACGTTGTGAGCAGTGGAGGTCCCGAGGGAAATATAATGATAGACCTCTATGAGGTAGGCAGTGAATGTGCTGCAGGGGTGGTGCTTTTATCTGACTACATGGTTTTGTAATATTAGGGCAGTGGCTTTTTTTGTAGTTTCTCCTTTTATATATTTCATATATTTATTATAGTCTGTCTGTGTGTGTGTGTTGACATTAATGCATTACTACTTAAGAATGCTTTATGGAGCACTAATTGAGCTCCTTCAAAATGTTAACCCCAGAGTGTTATTGGAGTATATGGTTTTAATTTTATGTTCCAAATTAAGGTAAATGAAGGTATCATATATGGTTCCTCATTTTATTTTCTGAACATTTTCTTGACTGGAGTCTTGTCCAGTCACAGGCACAGGCTGCTGTAAGGTGGCAACATTTGCAAAATGTGGCTAAAAATATATACTTTTCTTCAAAGGTCTAAGTTCATTTGAGTTCATACACTGAACTGAGCATGCATATACACACAAATACAGGTTGTGCCCGAACAGAATACTTCAAGTGAAAAAACAGTATTTTTTTGAGTCAATACTGAGCCCACTTTGAAGAAAAACAGTAGCAGTGAAGTATATCTCTACTACAAACAAAAAAATAAATAGCATGGTGAAACCATGTGAAAATCAAGGAAAACTAAATAATTCATAAACATTGAATTACTAAATCAATTTTAGCAGTAATAAAATATAATAACACTATGTAACTGAAGTATAATAAAAATACTATAAGGGTATCAAAAAACCAAAATCACACATTTCACAGCTTGAAAATGACTAAAAGTGGGATAAATGTCTCACTGGATCACTGTATGATGTTATAGGAACTTGTGGCAACATTCAGTGTATTATTCACTACTACTATCCTATATTTATAAGAGTTTTTTTTAATAACACAAATATGGCTCTCTAGATGCATCTGGTGTATGTCTCAAAGTGGACTTATGGAAATATGATCAAATATAGTGCCACCACTTTTAGCCATAAATTCCACTAATTTCTAGAGACAACACCTATCTCAACATTTAGAACAACTATTGAAATACATAATGTAGAAGACTAAAGTCTGAAATACTCCCAGCCACTGCTGATTGGATGCATTAATGAGCATTGCATTCAAATGCACTTTTATCACTATGTGTCACATACATTAGCCTGATGTTTGCTGACTGACTGGGAGACGTTTATATGGTTCCACAACCTCACAGTGAAGCCAGTTTTAACGTCTATTTAAGTTACCAAATGTGGTTCCTTGCCCCAACAGAGGGTTTGCTTGACAGAAAATCAAAAAGTCACAAACTTTCATCACATTCATCAAGTCAAAATGTCAGATATTTACCGAGTTAGATTTCTTTAATTTGTTTTCTAATTTGGGACTGTATTTGTGTCCTTAAAAAATTATAAAAAATTACATGAAATAACATTAACTTGATGCTGCTTAGGAATGAATTTTTTTTAGATGAATAATCAGAAAAACACTTGAATTTTTTTTTACCCATATACTGAAACTGTTGACTATAAGAGGACTCTGATGGCAACATGGGGAGCGCTAACGGAGACACTATGTGTCTCTAAGAGTACCATACAAAAGTCAAATCACTGGTTTGGGATCTTTCTTGAGCAACATAACAGACTCTGACAAGTAAAGCACCAACAGATGGACAAAAACTTTCATAAGAGTTCTTGTGGATTTTCTGCTGTGTTTTCCTTAAGTGCACTGAGATGTTTTAGATGCCCCTTCTATAATGAAACAGATGTTACACTGCATTCATTCTGCAGCATCTGGGTGCTTCTCTCATATCTACTTTATGGCTGCTTTATCATCTTTTTCATGCAACATTACAGTTTCACAAGAAATCATTTAACAGGTTTAGTCATTAGATAAGGTATCATTCATATACACATTTCGAAAACACAGTCAGTGATGGTGCATTGGCACAGTGCAGAATACTGGCTTTAACTAGTGCCCTGAACATATTATATCTGTGCTGACAGATCTACTACGAGGTTGCAGCAGCTGCACATGTATACATCAGCCTAGATTATCCTCATCCTTAGCCAGCAGTAAAAGCATCATGTTGTTGAAAGCTAAGATAGCCATCAGCAGTAGTTATGCTGCTCTCTGCCCAGAAACACTTAGCTGCAGTGACCAGTAGAAGATATTAAATGGTCATTCATACTTTGACAAAGATTTGTGGAAATGAAAGAGAAATGTGAGCTCAAGTGATAGCTGCAGGTGAGAGTCTGCATCTCTCTGCACATAAATACAAAGAAGAAGACATATCTCAGGGCTGTGCCATATGTTGTTTTGATTTTGCAGAGTCCTACAGATGGTCCAAAATAGTGCTCCATGTCAGGAAAAACTATCACTTTCAGACATCTCTTCCTTTCCAAACTAGGTCTTCAGCTTTACTTAAGTTTGAATAATTTACGGTTATTTTTTTCCTCCCTTTTTTGTTACTTTTCCCCCCACTGCTCTCCTTCTCTCATGTTCTCAGGTTGCCGGGATTAAAGGGGTGTTCCTGTCAAATAAAGTTGTCGAGAACCAAGTGAAAACTTATATCACATACAACAAGGGGAGAGACTGGCGTCTTCTTCAGGCTCCAGCAACCGATCTCCAAGGAAACAAGGTCTATTGTGAACAAGTAAGTGGGCCACTGACAAGAGGTACATTTGGTTATTTGGATTTCCATTATCTGCTTGCAAAAATACCGCAGTGAATCATGCTAGACCATGGTCAAAGTCTGCTGATAACTATGTGCCATAGCAACGCAGTTCTGAATGTGGCAGTAAGTGAAGAGACCTGTTATGATTAGGTTTACCTTCCAGTATTCATTTATATTCAATACATATTACTACGAGTAAAGGGAACATACCATACCTTTCCTTATTTTAAGTCATACTCAAACGTGTAAATGTAATCCCTATAAGCCAAAGCTCAGGCTCCAGACTGCTCTGAGTACTAGGTTCATATTTTCGTCTTATGTGTTGCTCAGTTCCTGGCACAGAACTTAGATGAAGTCAAACATGTATGTACGCACTCTCTCTAGACAGTATTACTACAGCACTGCGTACGCAGTAGGGGTGCAACATTTGCACAAATCTATACGGGACTGGGGAATGACTGCAGGCATGAGCACTTGATCATCGTAAATCACGAACGAAAAATTGTGATGCACTTTCAGGCCACTCTTTACATTAATCCCCTTTAAAAACTCCAGTTTTGCACTCAGATGTTGAATTTTAGAGTGTGTCTGTGTCCCGTAGAGGCTTATATTATTCATGCAACAAGATGTTAGCAGCAGTGGCAACGAATAGGGTGTAAAACACTGGATGATGGAACTACGACATGAGTAAATTCTGTAAATTCAATATAAGTTTTAGTATTATTTCTGTAGTACTGAATGTGCAACATAGACATTTTACTTGCTGCCTAACCTTTGGTGTTTCCTGACATTTTCCTGCTTTTCCATGTCAGTCACATGTTATTATAATATTATGAAGATGATTTAATCATCAAGTTCTAGCTTTAAACATGTGGTGATTAAATGATTTAAAAATCACTGGATTTTATTTTTATTCACGTTTTGCATAGCATCCCAGCATGCTTTGAAAACCAGACTTTACTGTATTGCTCTGTACCATAGATTTTTGGATAGCTTTTTGTTTGTGTGCTAAAATGCAGCACATTATTGCATTTTTGCTTTATTTTTCTTTCTTTTCTTTTAAAAAAAATAAATCAGTACAAAGCTTCACATTGTTTCTTATTCCACCAGGGTAGGTAAAGTCAAATCATAAAAGATAAGGAGCACAAGCATAAGTGGCAGACTTAGTCAACGACAAATTAAAGGAAAATTAAAACTTTTTTTTAATTTAGAGAGATTCTAGGCCCATAAATTAAATCTAAAGAGGCACTTAATCCAAAAAGGTCCCACAAACACTTTCTGTCGTCCAAACTGCCTTTTAATCTACCAAGCGTACACTCGTAAGAGATTTATCTCTACTGCTGCATCTCTATCTCTAGCCATTTTCCACTAATTTTGGGAACTGTAATAAGACAATATTTACTAAGCATTACTCACTATGTGAAATAGCATTAGTTGGGACTCATATTGCTTCATAAGCTTTGATTCCACTGGGCTACAGCTGCAACTAAAATGTTTTTTTTTAGTTGTTGTAATTATTTTTGATGCTTGTTGTGTCTTTTTACAACAGACAAAAGCCCAAATATGGGCTTTGAGTTACTCATGTATATAACAATCAAATCTTCACATCATCTCCTGCGCATAGATCTGATCTATATTAACGTTTCATTTTGATTTGGAAAACTAATGTCCTTCGCGTTTCGCAGCCATACTGTTCGTTGCACCTGCACCTTCACGTATCAGAGAATCCTTACACCTCGGGAAACATTGTCAGCAAAGACTCAGCTCCAGGAATCATAATAGCATCAGGTGAGACGATATTTGATTATTTTGCACATCCATACTGTTGTTTACGCTCTGCCTTAATGCTGGTCTTTGCTCACATCCTTCAGCACACAGTCACATCTGTTTTTTTTTAGATGCAATTCCAGCTCTGTCTTTCTTAGCTGACAACAATTTAGAATATAAAAGGAAATCTGTTTGTCCTGCACATCTGTTGCATGTTCTTTAGTGGAACAACTAACAAAAGCACTTTTTTGTTGGTTCTGAATTAACGATCGGCTCTGAAAACGTGACATGCTTAAAATAATTGAGATTAAAAATCTTTTGTATTCAGGCGTGGTTGGACCTGAGCTGACCAACGCTAATGTCAGCATCTTCATCACATCTGATGCTGGGAACACCTGGAGAGAGGTACATTACATTAACTGTTAGATTAGGGCTATGGGTACATTTTGTGATATTAGTACCTGTACAATGTCTTCATCTCGATAGGTAGTGCTTTCTGAATGTATTACTCTGTTGAGTATAATCAGGTTTTCCTTTTGAGTCTTTTTATCCATTCAAGAAACCAGTAATGTCTTCCCCATGACTATTCACTGAGTCTAATACGGAACAAAAGTTTTAAAACATATGACTTTAGTGAGCTATTATCTGAACAAAGAAGAAGAGAACAAAACAGGGAATCTGAGCTTTCATTGCCAACTTTTATTCCTCAGTTTTCAGCTGCTGTTGCTGCAGTCACATTTTCAAAAAACCCCCCTACAAAACAAAAAAAACAAAGGCGTGAAGTTTGACAGCCAGCCTTGTGCATATCTGATCTTTAAAACAAATAAAACAAAAGGCGCATTTAGACTTTTTGCCATTGGCTTAAGTCTGAAAAAAATATCAACAATAAGAGCAACGCTCGCTTGACGCTTTCCTTTATTCACACAGCTGAGACTCTTGTGTGTTCCTGCTTGTTCGTTGTATAGGTGTGAACATGCATGTTCTTGTACTTTGTGCAGACTTGAATTTTTCTCTGGAGTTATGAAGTGGAGCTGATTATGTCTGCAGGTTTTTCAGGAAGAGTACAGTGTGTTTTTCCTGAATCAAGGAGGATCTCTGGTGGCCATCCGACACACACCTCTGCCAATTAGACACATATGGTAAGGCTCTCCAAGGACGCACCACATCTTTTTAGAGACTGTATTCAATCTTCAAAACAAGGGAGTTTGGGGGGGGGGGGGTTGCTTCCCCTCTGATGCTTTTCATACAGAATTCAGCTCTATTTGTGGCTGGTCTGTCTGTGATCCAACCATTGTTCTCTCCCTCAGGCTGAGTTTTGATGAGGGCAGGAACTGGGACAAATATAGCTTCACCTCCTCTCCGCTCTATGTTGATGGGGTGCTGGGGGAGCCTGGAGAGGACACCCTTATAATGACGTAAGATTTGAAGGAACCATGAAGACTCAATGTGTTTCATTTTAGTTAATTACCGTCCTTGCTAATTATATTTTACCCAGATGAAGACTTAGAAGAGTTCACAATATTCTTGATTTTATTTGATATGGATTTTGGGTTTCATCAGCCAAGATGTAGAAGAAGGGTTTCTCTGCTCCTGCAGAACATGGGTTAGAGTCAGTGTATTGTTATTATTATTATTATTATTATCAGTGGAGTTACAGGTTTTTCACATATTTCTTCTCAAATCTACCCCACATTTGATTAATTTTCTTGCTTTTCTGACTTTTTTGTGTAGAATATTCGGTCACTTCAGTCATCGATCTGAGTGGCAACTTGTCAAGATCGACTTCCGGTCCATTTTCCAACAGCGGTGCACATCTGACGACTATCTGACGTGGCAATTGCACAATGAGGTAAGGCGATCTTTCTGCTATTTGACTAATGATAACGCGAAGATTCATCCATTGATTAAAGCCAAGAGAATCACTTTGATTTAGCTGTACAATAAAAGCAAGATGGTAAAAAAGAAACAAAAAAAAGAATTTCTGAAATGTTTATGATGCATTATTAATCACAGGGTGAAGTGTGCATCATGGGAATGAAGAGAATCTTCCAAAAACTGAAAGCAAACGTTCGATGTGTCAAGGCCAGAGATCAGTATATTTCCCAGATGTCAGATTCCTGCCTGTGCACAGAGGCGGATTTTGAGTGGTGAGTTCCCTTCTCTGCAGCTACACTCTTTTCACTTCATTAAATCCAATGCACAACACTTTATCAATCTCCAGAGGCAGAGTCTGTGAAGTAAACCTAAGGCACAACAAGAACAGTATTTGAAAAGATCTATTTTATAATTCACTACTTGTTATTCCTATTTCAGTCATGTTCTTTTGTAAATTTAGGACATAACTTGGTAATAATAATAATAAAAAAAAGTTTCACGAACACAGATGTTTTTCTGCTTCCTAGTATATTGTGCAGTTCATTTATCATGTCACTTTTACCACACGGTGTTACCCAAACTTATATTTATGATAATATGCATCGCAAAAGTATGAAAAATCTCAATTATAAAAAGTTTAAACACCACATGATCACGAGATAAAGAAAAATGTGGGTGCCCAGCCTTCGCAATCACATGAAAGCAGGTTCATTGCTGCATGATTCAAGTGCCCTTGAATAGATTTCCATAATGAATAGCAGTAGTGGTTCACTCTACACTCTATTATTAGCTACTTCTGTATGTCTAACAAGTATTGCTTCGATACTTGTTTATCACTTCAGACTGTCTCATCCTTTCTTTTGTCTTTCTCATCTAACGAGATGATTGAGCAGCACAAACTAATATAACACAAGCTTAACACCACTTTATTACTAGATGACTTCTGGCTCCTGAGAGAGTGTTTCCCTGATCATGATGAAAGATTTCTGACAGATCAGTCTTACTGATGAATACTTTGCAGAGGTGTTATAATTGTGTGTTTGTGTTAACACAGACAATGCTTTTGCTGCCTCAGAAATTTGATGCAACCCCCCCAAAAACATCAAAACTTCAAATACTGCTTTGCTGTGGGGACTTTTCTCTAGCCCAGAACATTTCTGTTTGAAGGATGCATGTAGTTATTGATTTTTTTATTTTTATTTTTTGGTGTGGGGTTTGGGTATTTTTTTAATATATAAATAAACGATCCGTAATCTTGATAATAGTGTCTTTTTCCCTACTGAAACAGCGACTATGGGTTCGAGAGGCAGATCGATGGCACCTGTGCTCCAGCTTTCTGGTTTGTTCATTCAGCAACATCTAGAGACTGCATCGCAGGGGACAGCTTTCTCAACACCACAGGGTATGCTTGAGTCACTTGTTCATTATGTTTTTGATTTAATTCAGTTTTATTTGTCAATGCAGTTTACATTGCACAGTAAAGACCATCAATAGTAGAGAGATCAAATATCCCCCACCGAGCTAGCACTTGGTGGCAGTTTTCACAGGATGAGATTTCTGGTAGAACCAGATTGAAATGATGCCAGAAAAACAAGCAGCAGATGCACAAATGTTTTTAGTTAGTTTCAAATCAGCCTTCATGAATCACCAGTTGTTGTGTTAAAATAGTAGTTTTCATACAATGTAATTTCCAAGGTTAAAAACAGATGGAAAACATGCTTGAAAGAGACGTGTGTGGAGTTTAGGTAATTAAAAAGATCAAACCTCTGATTTTCTTACTTCAGATTAAGAGCGAGGCTTGCTTATATTTATTGCCACTATTTAACTGTCAGCCAAAATAAGCCAGCTGTATAGCGCAGGCTTCCCACCACACTGAACATCACGTCACATGCTGCTTAAAAACTAGTCATTAAACAAGACTAAACCAGCCAACATATGTGGGAAATATGATTAAAAAAATATCCAGTAATAAATCTGTTTGCATTAATATCTATTCATAACAGGCTAATTAAACTCACCTAATACAGCAGTTAAATATGACAAACAGTCGTATCCACTGTCTACATGGGTTGTGCCTGCTTTTATGCTCATGCCGTGTCTGACAGTCCTTTATTTTAGAAGTCCTCTCTTTTCTTTTACGAATTCTAGATATCACAGAGCTTTGTCTAACAACTGCACCGAGGGAAACCTGTTAAAGTACAGCCCCAGACGACAAAAGTGTCCCAGTCAGGCTCCCAAGGGCCTCCAGCTCTTCACCAATGAGGGAACGCTGGTAGCAACTTTGGGAAAGAATGTCACCTTCTTGGTGTTTCTGGAAGAGGTGCTGAGTTCACTTAAGAAAAAAAAACCCCATGTACTTTACATTATAGGGTGAAGCTTTTAGGGTGCATGCTCTTTTATTGGTGTACTGTATACCAAGATGCTGTCATGAACATTATTTTCTTTTCTTTCTTTTCTTTTGCAAGGGTCTTGGCTCCATGACAAGTATAACAGTGGACTTTGGTGATGGAACCGCTATATCCTATGTGAATATAAGCTCCATCGACGACGGGGTCAAGCATATCTACAGTAAAGTTGGCATCTACCAAGTTTCTGCTACAGCAAACAACGCTCTGGGCTTTGAAAGGATCATGCTCTACCTCCATGTCTCCTGTGAGTGGAAAAAAAGTAACTTGTCCTGGATAAGCTCCTGCTAAAGCATACAAAATCATATAATGCATACACTTCCACTTCCATGCTAGATTTATAGGCATCATTCATAATGCAATGCTCATATTAAACCTTAAAAGTTCACATGATTCACACAGTTTTTTTCTGATCTTGGTGTTGTATGATGTCAGTGACATCTTTAATACAATCAGCTCAGGCAATACAGCTCTAGCTCACAGATGCCCCACCCACCTGCTGTTCAAACCTTCTGTTAATTGTTTACATCAGACGAAAGTTGGCTTAAAGGGAGCTAAAACAGCTTGAGGGTCTACACCATGGCCCAGTGTAAGATAAATGAGGATTATTTTGAAATCTGAATCATGCAAAGCCATGTCCAAAAATAAAAATATGGAGCTGGAATATACACGTATATAATACAGCTAACTTTGCACCAGCCTTCAAATAGATCAAAACACTTGGACTTTTGAACCTTTAGAGTGAAAAAGTGGTTTGAAAATGCACTCACGCTCCTTCTGCGGGTTCAGATCGGCTCATTAAAGTAAGACTTCACCGAAAAAAAAAGAAAAAAAGCTTTGAGTGTCATTCATCCAGCGTGGGTGTGAAAGACAGCTGTTTGTTGTCTCCTTGTTGACAGAAAAGAGCGCCACTGGTCAGCTTGAATTTACCTCATTATAACAGATTCCAATAGTGGCACTTTCATGGGTGCAAAAACATCAAAACATCTGCAGACACTTGTCAAACCACTCCTGAAGCGCATTCAGCTCCATCCTGCCTGTCAATGTGTTCCAGGCCGCCATTGTTGTGCCAGAATACTGTGTGATCAAATACGTGGTTTCTCTTGAAATTTGGAGCACCATGAAAGCTTTACGTTTACGCATTTTAACAAAAGGTACGACTTTGGAGTTTCTGTATTTTCCCTCTAAAGGTCAACTCGAGCAGGTCCAGCTTTCTGCTCCGTCAGTGGTCATCAAGAACAAAGCAGTAAACCTTACCACAGTGCTACAGCCCAGTGATGTGGGAACAGTCACTTATTACTGGTGGTTTGATAACAAAACGGAGGTAAGCCATACTTTCTCCTACTAAACCATGCCGCCTGTTTACTGAGCAGCATGATAGATAGTAGACAGTTTCATCTCATCTCATGCCTCTATGCCTTTTTAGCCTGTTGTGACCCTCAGTGGCGCAATGCCCTTCACTTTCTCCAAGGAGGGAACTCACACTGTTACTGTTCAGGCTTCAGTGGGCAACACTGTCCATCAAGATCAAAAGAGGGTATCAGTTTATGGTATGTATCTTTTTTATGTTACCATCATTTTCTTCACCTAATGCACTTAAGTAGCCATTCGATAATTGTTTTGCCTCTAGAAATTGAGAGTGAATAACTTGAAAACTTTATGGCTTCTGACAGCACAAAAAAAAGGGTTCAGTGATGCTTCTTTCAGCCACATCTCGTGCCATTCATGAGTGAAGGACGCTGGCTGTGTTGCAGTAGAAATTGTTTAGTTTAGTAACTACAGTTTTGATCATGTGAAAGCTCTGTAGGGGTTATGAGATGTGCCAGAAAACATAAAAGCATTGCTGCAGTGTTTCTATGATCCAAGTTTAAGCCTGGGTAAGCAAGTGAGACCAGTTCATTAAGTAAGAACTGTTCTTACTTAATGAACTTAATTCTATTTTTAATGACTTGGGGGCATTTACTTCAGGCTCCAGATGTTTTGCCCGTTGTTTCTGGAATTACAATTACTTTTACAAAGATATTCATTTTTTACAGACAATCAACTTTATGAATTTTGGTTGTTTCTGTGTTTTATTTTTATTTTTATTGCTTGCAATTAACAATGTGTGTATAGTTTTGAATGTGTATGTGCTACTAAATTATGCAACTTATGATTGCACTGTTGTCTTTCTTGGCCAGGACACTGCTATTTTTTTCTAGTATAAATGAAGGTAATTATAAATAATGACAGAGCATTTCTTTAAATTTCGTTCACTTTTTATGCTAGTTTGCAAAGTTAATTGTACCACATATGGAACTGGCACATGAACAGGACCCATCACTCAACTTTAAATGCATGCATTTTCTTCTGCTTATCCAATTAAAGTTTCGAGCCTATCCCAGCCATCACAGGGTGAAAGGCAGGGTGTAACCTGGACAGGCCACCAGAATATCGCAAAGCTAACACAGAGAGGACCAACCATTCACACTCACACCTGTGGCCAATTTTACAAAGAATTTCCAATCAACATGCATGTCATGAGCTGTGGGGGGAAATTATACCTGGAGTGTACTTATGGAGGCAAAAGGCAAACATGCAAACACCACACAGACACACAGTGGATTCAAACCGAGGCCCTTCTTGCTAAACAGCAGTGTTAACCACTGCACCTCTGTGCCACCCTCACCATAAACAATAAAAATACATGTAACACAGACAAAGACAGCAGAAACTCTGCACAGAATTTCTATTTATTTTCTTTTTGATATAAATTGTTTACTAACATTTAAAAAGATGTAAATTTTAATGAAAATACCAATTTTTGAGGAGTCCTGGGGCTGCTCTTTGAATCTAATGAAACACTTAGCGCTATAGCAGATCTCCAGTGTGAAGCAGTTCATTTTACATTCTGCCAGTAGTACAATCAATACATTTTATCACTGGCACTCCGACTGTCTTTTCTTGTAGCAGCTAATAAACAAAGTCGAGGATTTAGCTGCAGCTAATGATGCATGCACAGGAATAAACAATGTATTCTAAAATGAAATAAGAAGGTCACCAGACCAAAAAATATATGCAAGAAACGACACTTTTGCCAGTCAGTGTAAGGGTTATTTGAAGTGTGTGAAGTGGATAATTGTTTAAAGAGTTTTTTTTTTCATGAAGTAAGAAGATTTCTGCCTATATTTCAGATTATTTCCGCTCACACGTGTTGGCATTTTCATCTAATTTGGATGAGCTGAACCCCGGGGTGTCTGAGTGGAGAGAGGACATCGCCAGAGTTGTGAAAAACTGCATGGTTCAGGTCAGTTTTTCAGCTGCTGGTGTTATAAAGGCTGTAACATGAGTAGGAATAAACTAAACTTCAGAAATCTCATTTAGATTCTGGCAATTAGCAGCTTTACACTAGTGTGGAGGAGGGAAAAAAACTCTAGTCACTGTCTAGTGAGCTGATAACACTTAAGATTTTGGTTACGCTACATTTGTAATGTATGCATGTGATCTTGTCAAGTGTTTCACTCCAATAGCTGCAGTGTCTTTAACCTCAGTAGCTGTGTAATTAGTCGTTTCGCTCTGAATGCTGACATAGCGCATCACTCGAAATCATTATTACGAGCGCAAGCTTTCAACTGAACATGTCAAAACACTAAAGGGCAGTAAAAGTGCTGCTATGACACTTGCCTTTTGCCTCTGTGAAGAAGAGAATGACGGTGAGAGAACACCACAACCTCTAGTAAAAAAGAGCCACACTGTGGTTAAATGTGCCTGGTTTTCTCTTTCAGACACTGTGGGGATGTCATCAAAGCAGCGGGTTATGTAAAAGACCTGGATACTGAGCTCTATATATATCCGACAGTAGCCCTCAGTATGAAACATTCACTTTGACCTTCTGTCTTGTCAGATATGACCACAGTTTGCACCAAGAAACTGACAGCAGACCTCTGGTTACGGCACAAATGCACTAAAAACTCTGGCCTTTACCAAAGACTGTCATATTGAACTTGCATGTTTAACTTGATTCGTGCATTATACCTCGACAGTGACTGGTGCTTAGGCAAATGATATATGAAGCAGAAAGCAGAAAGAATTTACTCGTTAATACAGATGACCCCCAAGGATCGTATTTCAGGGCCGTAGTGCACACTATCACCTCAAAGTGTGTCAGTTCAAAAACCTTTTTTAATGAGGTTTTGTTGTTATTATAAAAGGTCACTGGAATCAGTGAGGATCAGCTCCTGGTCACAGTGCTTCCAGGGCTACCAACTACAGCAGAGATTTTCATTGTACCTGAGAAGAGGCCAAGTGACAGAGCCATGGATGAAAAGTGGGCACACCTGGATCAGGTACTGTCTCATAAATCACTATAACGGTCCTTGACAGATACTCAGTACACTTTGGTTTTCTGTAATCCACAAAAGAAAATAAATAAATACAAGAAGTTGAGGAGTTAAGAGACCATCTCAGGAGAGAACATCTCAGGAGAATGCCTCCTTTCCTTCAGAGTGTCATACAGGATTGTTGAGCTATCAGTATAAGCTAAGTATTAAAAACATATCTTTCTATCACTGCAGCTGTCTAGCAGGCAGGAGAGGACCCAAAAGTAGCACTCTAAAAACACCACATAAACTCACTGACTGGACTGAGGACATAAATACACATGAGGTAACAAGAGGACAGGCCACAGGTGTGAACACAGGTGACACTAATCTAGACAAATGAGACAAGGGAAGCAAAACTGAATGTGTTAGGAGACTATTGAAGTAAAACAGGAAGTAAGATAACCACAGAGACAAAACTAAGACTCACAGGCTTGACACCGGGACCGGGGACAAGACAGACTGAGGCTGAATCACAAAACTCTTGATAAACTAGAAAATAACATTCGGAAACCAGACATCATTATCTCCTGCTTTCAAAAAATACAAACCCAGACGAAAACTCAGAACAGTTTCTGTCACCACAGGGTTGCATCTTGCTTTGCAGATACACAGAACATTGTATTTACCATACCATAGTCTTAAGCTAAAGGATAAAAATGAAAGTGGTCTGCAATTTTTTTTTTCACCACACTGCCTCCTGCATTGATTTTTCCCCCCCTGAGAAACTCTTTGCATAAATTTCAGTTTCTCATATATTGCTGCAATCATCCCTAATTATCTAAGATTCTTTCTCCAATTTCCGATTGATGTGGAGCATCAAGCTGTTTTTAGAGTCCTTGGTTATATGTGTTGGAGAAGTGTTTTAAGGAGAGTTACATCTTAACTTCCCTTTCTCTCTGTTTGTCCACAGTACTGGAAGTATGTGTGCGCTGAAATGAAATTGTATTTGCACAAATTCCCCCTCTCTTATCTCTGACTACTGACTATTATTTCCTGTTTCCAGTTTTTCTTTTCTTTTATGTGTTTGACAGACAGAGTCTGTTATGCGAGAGACTACCTAATTATTATCCAATTATTTTATGCTTTTATTTATTACTTCTTAAAATGTCTTCTGCCTTCTTTGGTGCCACAGTTTCCCTTTTTTTTCCATTCCAATCATCAACTTGGGGAGACTTGAAACTTGTTCTGGCAAGACAATACATCAAAACGAGCATAATGTCTGCTCTTATTTTTGTCAGAGTTACATTATAGTTGCATAGTAACACAGTTTTAAGTGCAGCTTGACTTGGAAAGTCTGCACTCCATCACCACCTAACATTAAGGTTAACTCTGACAAAAATAAATGCAGACGTGATGCTCATTGTGATGGATTACCGAAGTCAGCCAAGTTTAAAGTCTCTGAAAATGCATTTTCATACCATTGTGAAATGAATGGATGCCACTGGCTGCTTGGTGGTGAGGAAAAATATGATGTTATGCCTTGGAAAAGGTCAGCCGTAATGAGGACTGTACATTTTTTGTGGTAATTGGGCTAAAGCATGCACAAACTCTGGTGTAGTCCATCAAGTGAGAACTCAGTGAATAAGAGGAATGTGTTCCATATAGGCTCATTGTTATTATTATATAGACCCCATAGGCTCTTTTCTTACACGAGCCAATCTTTCAGTAGCGTCTCAATAGTCTGTCCTCATGTACTTTCTTGTTTTTTGAGTATACCCCTATTTAATCAGTATTTCTCTTCCTTATCACGCATATTATTTCACAGAACCTCCAAACTGATTTTAAATCTGTATCACTAAACTGTTAATTATTTCAGTGTTTCCACAGATGCATATTGTATTTCAGGCACTCCTAAAATGTAATACTTTATGTCAACACTAGAGGGCAATGCCTTCCCGTGTAAAAGCACTGCTGCATCCATCAGCGCACTGAAATAACACTCAGAGTATCTCAGAATGTGTAATTGGACTGACAGTCACCTCTGTGAAGTTTTGAGACTTGCATAAACCTTTGGGTAACGATAACAACTTTATTTTAAGCCGCCCGGGCTTTGTGGTTGTTATTTTCTTGCTGTGAAATAATATTCCTGGAAATGTATCGTGCATCATGTTCGGAAAAGCTATCAAATAGGTAAACAAAGCAATAAAACAGAGATGTTTTTTAAAGCTAGACAAGCTCATTTATTCATAACGGAAGAGACTACAATGTATCACAAGTAAACATAATTTTGCTGGCTCACAGTCAGTCTTGAACTACGTTAATAGGTATTTAATTACATTGATGCATCATATAATTGGCACCATCGAGAAAGGAGACAATCTGGGGCAGGCGGCTGGGATTGGGAATTAAAGAGATGTATTTATCTAAAGCCTGTCTGATTACCTGGCAGAACCTCACAGACAATAGGGTAATAAATCTTCAGTTCACTGTTCTCATCTCCAGTGAATGACTTGCAATGTGGAGGCACTGAGTGAGCGCCAACACATACACATGTGCATCGATGAGTGCATGTGTGGAGGAGCTTATTAAAATGTGTAATAGATTTACTGACCCTGATATGCCACTAGAACAAAAAGTAATTATTCATACTGTGTAGAGCGGTCTAATTTTAACCAGTGGAAAGATTTTAGAAAGAGCGAGATGGAATTAGTGAGGCATGGCTAAGGACTCAAATGGGCACTGGGAAGGCATTTTGGTCTCTTGCTAAATGACTGCTTCATCAAGGTGTGAAAAGCAGGGGAACTTGAGTCTCTTCAGGGAGAAAAATTAAAACAGCAATTTAAAGATATTAGAACACACTTTGATTTCCAATAATGTTGCCTCACTGAACCTATAAATGGGCAAATCACATTCCCTTTAAAAGGAAGCATGACAAGGAAATAGTTTGAAAAACTCCCCGCTGTGATGGAAATGGCAGAAGATTATTTTTTAATGTCACTGCCACACCATAAGCAGAACACCTGGTTACCTGATAAGGTTTTTCCCCCACCATTAAAGCCTGTTAGGTTTCAGTGCAGCAGGTTTGGTTTTCCCTGTGTCACATCACCATTTGCTCCTCTTTAGAAGGAAGCAAAAACTCTGATCCATAATTCAAGCTGTTGGATGGAATGGCTGTGGTTGAAATATTGATGACTGTGAAATATTCCTATACAGCTGCCGCTAACTGAGCCTTCTCCGCTCTGCCACTTCTCGTCATAGCTTTCTCAGGTTCTGCTAAGTGCTCTGAACCAAGACCTCATCCAGTTCACACTCAAACCGGGGGTGCAGGTAAACGTGTACGCCACACGGCTGTCTCCAGGTGAGCCTGCTGCGTCTGTCACACACCTACCTGAACAAATGGCAGGCAGTCTGATCCATTTTTGTTAGAGATGTGTTCCAGACCCCATTTCTGGGGTCGTGTTGGGGCCAGACTGTGTGCGGTTCTTCTAGTTTGAGGCTGAAAATGAGATCTACATGTGAACGAGCTTTCAGCTTTTCAAATGCTTATTAAAAATTAAACAGAAGTCTGGAAAGTACAGCTTATGTATTTTGTCATATTGTTGTATTCGTTTTCCATGTTCTCTCTGTTTATACTGCGCTGACTGATATTTAACAGAATTGCTATATAATCTTGGCCTGCATATGTGCTCATTTTCTCCATCTTTCTGCTTCAAAGCTCCTCTCGTGGACAGCAGTGATAGTGGCCACAGCGGCACGGCGGTCATCATGCTGGTGTCAGTTGTCCTGATGGGCCTGGCTGCCTTTGTTATATATAAATTTAAAAGGTACAAAATACTTGGGTGACAGAGCACAGTCAGAGAAAGATAAGTTAGGCGGAGTCATAAAAATAAGCCCTCTGATTTGCAGACGCATCCATGAAGTTGTCTGCGATAAAATACGTTATTGCTTTGTTTGTTTGTGTGTATTCGCACGGCCCTATTTAGGGTTGCTCCCATTATCTAGAAGCAAGCACCTAACTGCCGAACTCCTAAAACTTTCCAGAAGTATTCAGACTCCATATATCTCTGAGTTATGGACATCCACGACACAATAATAGCTTGAGAAATAAGACAATTCCCCTCTGTCTCAATCTGCAGAATATTACAGGGAATGACAGGCTAATCAATTCTCCCAGAGCGCTGAATGGGTGTCAGAGTCCTGCAGTTATCAATATTCATCTATCTGACAATGTGAGGGTTGACCTTTCGGAAATGCTAAACACAGCTATCCAAGGTGAGGCATACTCTGCAGAATGGCAGGAAAGGTTGAGAAGATGAATCCTGAGACAACACACATTATACAGTGAGGGACATACAGTAAATAGCATCCTCTGCTGGAGGTAATCCCATGCCAATCACAGGGGGATGGTTTTGTTCGTCAGTAGTTTGTGGAATTTTACTCATTATAAAGCAAACACTGCTGAACTTTATGGATAGTAATTACTACATTAAGAAATCAACTTGGAGTTCTTAAGCTCCCCCAAATGTCACAGCACCAGCTGCAGCACAAAAACACAAGGGGGTGAATCTGAAATTAGAAATGCAAGATGTTAGTTTTAAGCAGAATTGGGGATGCATCTGAGGGGATGAAAAATTGATTGAAAAGTGAGGTGAACAATACGAAAAGTGAGAGAGCAATGCCCAGTGGAATGCAAAATGCCCTAGTTTCCAGCTTTCAAGCAATCCTCTCCCATCCTTAACAGTTAAAAATAGTGCGTGACACATTATGCCTAGTGAAGGCATTAGTGAAACAGACCTGATGGCAGGTTTCCATTAACTTGCTTCCCTTTCCCCACCTTGTGCACGACCTGCAGGAAGGTCCCAGGCATGAACACATACACGGCAGAGCAGCCTGACAAAGAACAAGAGGTCATCCCGTCAGTGACCTCCATAGCCGTCCCAAACCCTGAGGGGGACAAGCTGACCGCACTGGATCACGTGGATGTACAGCTGGACTCAAAAAGCAGAGGTGTGTAGCGCTTTGTTAAAGCTACAGGCTTTATTCAGCTTGTATCAGTTTTTTAAGCAACAAAATAGGTGTCATCTTCCCAGGCAGCCAAGCCGGCGGTGTACTTGTCACTAAAACTGCATAATTACTTACCTGATAGAATTGAGGTAACTGGAATTTTATTTGTAGTGCTAAGAGCAATAACAAAATGACATTTAGAAGATTTGTTTCTTTTCTGGGACATTATCGCCATTAATTTGGAGATCCCACAGAAAGCACTGTCAACAGTTTTTTAAATTTTTTTTATTCAGAATGAACTATAAAACACGGTTTACAGCAGTGTCTGTGAAGAAGCCAAAAAGGGCACACTTACTTTACGGGCTATAATTGAAGGGAGCAAATGTAGATAATGAGTTCAAAGAGGATTATCCTGGTGGAATCTTCTGGACAATCATGGCAGGAGCGAAAGTGAGAGTTACTTAAAGTGGAAATTCACAGAGAAACTGAAATAATGAAACTGTGCAACATAAATCTGGTATTTCTTGTTGACTAGTACGCTCTTCCATTAAGAATCATAGTTTTGAACATGTACATTGACAAACGCATGATGCTACACCTGATACATTTTTATTGTATGATTCCCAGAAGACGTCTTGTTTGATACTGTATGTAGCAGTGTCTTCAGTAAAGATGAACCAAATGTTTGGCAAAAAAAATGACTAGCCACGTGCTAGGAAATCAGAAAGCTATATCTTAATCGCGACATGCTAAAACTGTGTTCACTGAAAGGCATCGTGTCTTTATTTGTAAATAATAAATATTTGAAACATTAAAGAAAATTGTCGCAGTCAGGAGCACTGGCCACAAGTTAAAGCTCGCTGACTTGATATTCGCTTACTATTAAGTGCCAATTCTATTTTTCCTCCCCGTGTATTGTCAGACGAGTTGCCAAGACAGAGTTATTATTTTGTGTTATGTATTTATGTATTTGCCAGCCTGACTTTGGCACAGTGAGGTATTAGCACGCACAGGTAAGCGAAGCACAACCAAGTGTGAGCTAAAGTGATGAGAATGTCTCGGTGAATTATTTGACCCAATAAAATAATTAGTACAGCTGCAAAGAAGCAGAGTGGTGAAAGCATTTTCATCAAGAAATATATATGAAGTTCCGGTTGATTTACCTCCACGCGTAGCTAAACAATCGACCCATCCAAGATAAATGTGTTTGCCTGCAAAAATACACCCTCATGCAAATAGCATACATAAAATTCCTCCCGTGTCGCTTTCCTTTCTTCTCCCTCGCCAGGCTACCTGCCATCTCACACAGACATCAAGCTCTCTGATGAAGCACCCCATGTGTTTTAATGTTGAGAGTCTATGACCGACTCGAAAGCAATACATCTTCTTTGGCAGTTACTTCCAGCAAGCTATGAAACCACGGTCACAATGAATGGTCTCGAGTGTTTTGCTACCCATGCATGGATGGACCAGTTCACACTGTGCTGCCTAATCCCTCTGAGGAGACTGTACAGATTTATACTTGCTTCTTGAAAAGGAACACTTTTTGACTGAAATACTTGTATTTTTGCAAGGACACTGATCTTTTTATGTAAATAATGTACATCCATAATGGAAGAAGTCTCAGCTGGTTACAGCTGCGCCTGCCCAAATATGAAAATATCAAATGGGAGTGATGTGTAATCATATCTCAAAATATTCTACCGTTTCTGTTTTTGGACTTGTGTTTGTGGAGTTTACTTTATTTAACTATGTGGAAATAGCTTATCTGAGTAAGACAGTGAGGGAAGCAGATTCATTAAGCTCTGTACAATCAGTAAATCTTATCAGGAGATTCTCATCAAATGAAAGCTTGCAATATCCAGGAGATGAAGGAGAGCTCCTAGTCCCAGATCTGTGTATTCCATCAAGCCTGCCTCTGTGCCGCTCAAAATGTTATAATATGTGTCATAACAAAAATAAGAACAGAAGATTACAGTAGATGGGTATGCACAGCAGATGAACATCCGAGCAATCCCTCTTGTCTAGTAGACTCAAATAAGTCATTTTGGTGACAATGAAGGCAGCGGAATGAATGCTAACGTCATAAATGTTACCCTGCTTTAACGCGAACAACACATTAGTGCTCTAAATCATTGTTTTGGGCTATTATTGCAACGGTAGTCTTATATTTGATTGTCATACGGTCAACTTTAACTATTGCACAAAACAGTGACTTTTACACTTTGTATTTATTCATTGCCAGAAGCATTTCTGGTGTATTCGGGTTTCTATACAGAGAACAAAATGTAAATTTTCAGAATAATAACACTGCAGCAGACACTCACTGTAATGCAGTAAAAAAGCGCTAAATTTACACTTTAGTTATTAGATCAAGGTTTATTTTCAGTTTGTCGCCTCCTTGACACAATTATTACTTACTTTTCATATTTTCTTTGAACTGCTGGTACTGTGAAGGATGTGGTGCCTTTTTATAGGAAAAGAGTGAAACTGTGGATTTTTGGATTATTGTAATTCACTTTTTATTTACTCTGGACTGTTTATGATATTAAGATGATACCGACATCTACACATAGCATTTCCTCGGTTTACTGCAATGCACGGGAGCCTGCAGTCTGTTTAAGGTTTACCCCCAAGGACTCGGCGGACAAAAGCCTGCAGATTTGTTCATCTCGTTCGCTGCAAGGGACACAGAGATAGAGAAGACATATCTCCTGTCAACAAGGCTCAGCCTACGCACACTGCTTTGGTCAGCTGCTGTCTCTTTGGGATAAGTACTAAAGTTCTTCTTCATCAAACTTTTCTTTTTAAGTGTTGTCAGCATCATATGTCAGTAAGACAAATTGACTAGAGGCTTCTCCATACTTCTTCCCTCCAATCCTCCAATTGAGCCTGAAGCATAAATAAACTCGTCTTCAGACAAACTCTCATCTCTCCACATGGTCATCTGAAGATTTTTTTTTTCTTTGTGCTTGTTATTTATTTAACAACTATTTTTTGTTAAGTCCGAATAATTAACCTGTGAATACGATTGTGAACATATTTGCATGACCTTTTTTTTCTATTTCAAGCTACCTAAATATGTCTTAGGTAAAAAAAAAAAGAAAAGAAATGTTAACAATGTGAACTGGAAAATGTTATGTTTCTCAACGGGCTAGACTAATCATTCATTATAAGTGATGTGATTATTCAGTGGGTTGTTACTGTGTTTTTCATTTGATCTTGCAGAAGTAACCATAATTACACAAATAATAAAGAAGAAACACAAAAGGATTGCAGTGTGGCTGCTATATTTCTGCTGTTTAAACCACGTAGTTAACTCGCAGGCTATGCAAAGTCAATCAGCAAGGCTCATGAGGAGCAAAAGTAAGGCTCTACCCTAGCCGACTGTGAGTCTATCACAAATTGGTACTTTTGATTGATAGGCACGCTCACATTGTAGAATTAGTTGCTTCTTCTTCTTTGTCTCTTAACAAGTGTTGCTTAGCATGCCTGAAGTTTCAGTGCAGCCATTTGCATAATACAATGGGGCAGAGCGAGAGGACAATGAAAAGCACCAAGTAGCCTGGAGTGATTCTAATGGGATAGTTCCTTGGCTCTCCCACTGTGCAACAAATTAATTATCCCCTCTCCAGGAAATCAACACACACACACACACACACAAAATCAACAAGGAAGATTTTCCCAGTCTGGGTAGCACCTTGAATGAAAAATGTCCCACAACAATAACCCACAGCAATATTGTGTTAGCCACAGTGTGAAATTGATGAGCATGTTTCCTTTCATTGAGTGCTACATTACAGTGTCTGGCTGCAGCGAATCATCCATTAGTGATTGTCACCGTTCAATTTGATTGTGCACTGCCGAACATCCCAGGGCAGTTAGAGAAAGGCCTTGGTGTTAATTCAGACTGAGAGCAGGAGCGAGAATAAGACTCTCGGGGCATTGATGGCTGTTGGAGTGATGAAGATTGGTGTGCGATATGAAGCCGTTGAAGTGGCAAACAAAATGCAAAACACAGAAACAAGGTCCTGGTTGCTGCAGCTTTGTGTGTGAAGACATATTTCAGCCAATCAACCACAGTGTTTTATGCTCCAATCTCACTGTCTTTCACATTTCTTTTGTAACTCAGAGAAGAAATCATACTAATACCCCCGTACTAACATCTGCTTTTCATCACTTGACCACAGCCGTAGTAATTGTTCCCATTAAAAAGAAACCAGCTATAACTGGCAACTTGAATGATAGAGTGTTAGAGGTAAAATGAAGCTCAGTCTAAATGTCAGATGGGAATCTTCACATGGGTGTTATCACACTTCTGCCCATTAAATCTGACTTCAGAGCCTCTGTGGGATCATTAAAAGTGCTGTGGTGAGCCTGATACACTGGCTGCTACATGGCACCTGTGTTTCAGATAAGGCTGTGGTAGTGCTGTTAAAGAGAAGCTTCTCGAACCCTTTGGTTTTTAGGTTTGTGTCATGACAACCCCAACATTTTTTGTAAGCACTGCGAGCCATTTCTTAATCTTACATGTTCCACTGTTAGGCTTACTGTGGGTGTATGCATAATACAAAACATAATTCCATATAAAAATACATTTATTTTGAACAATTTCAAAATGGCAATTTGTTCACAGTAAGAAATGTGATTCCAAACAAGACGATTTTATATAATCGACAAAAAGGAACAATATCATAGAAGTTTCATGTTTCATGCACAACTCTGGGCAAATGCACAACTAGACTATAAGACAAGGTGTTTAATAGTTTGTTTAATGTGTCAAGTAAAGTTTAAAATCACAATGATATATATTTATATATATATATTTATATATACAGTACTGGCTCACCCCAATAAAAGTCTTTTATAGTCTTATCACAGATAATTAGGGCATGCTACTGTAAAAAAAAAACAAAAAAACAAACGAAAAAAAAAAACAAAAAACCAATGAAATTAAAAAAGTGGACATACATCTTGCTGTGAGACTTAAAATCAAGGAAAGACACAACTGCCTGCTCAGTGGGCTGCCTTAACGACAATGTATGACGATGCTAGTGTACAGATTTAAATTCCATCTTATTCTATGTACATGTTGTCGATATTTCCCCTTGTAAGGCCAGACTTTCATGATGTTGTATACCATATTCTGAGAAACAGTCATTGAAAGCACCATGTTATCTAACAGAGCAGAAACATACATCCCTGTCTTATACTCTTTACCAACAGTCACATATGTATGCATAAGCATTATATCTACAACTCAAAGACCTCTAGTTTTAGGATGGTAACGTTTAGCTTGAGCATAAAGTTTAAGAGGTTAATAGAATAAATTATATGATTTAAAAAAAAATCAAACAATCTATTATATTTTTGTCTTATATTATAGTCACACTCAGGAAAACAGTGACGTGAGCCAAAATTACTGAGACTGTGTACAATGATGATCTTGTCACCTGAAATGATTGTTTCAAAGACAGGGACCAGGTTTGCAACCACTCGCAGTCAGTTGCCTTTGGTGGATGAAGACAGCAATAAAACGGTCAGTCTGCTTTCAGTTTGAATGTAGCTGGCTCTACATACACAGAAATTCACATCAAACGGAAATTCACACAAACTATTTACAGAGTTCAGCCAGAACCTCATAGATCTGAAACAGAATTTCCTCCACAAATAATGACATCATTGCTGCAAAATGACAGAGATGGTCAGCAACCTTGCTTTCATATAGAGATATAACCAGAATACAACTTGTTGGCAACCAGTTGAGTCATGTCTCCTATTTCAAAGAGATGCGCCGCAGATGAGTTGTGCTCATTGGTGCAGACTGACTCAGATTGATTGCATTGTGTTGCAATCTATGTTTATAAATGAGACTGCAGTTTTATGCAAACCTTTGCTAACCTGTCTGAAGGTGACTGCACTCAGTCTGAGTCAGGCCATGATTGTTTAGAGACAAAGGTTGAAGGTGTTGCATGCTCAACTTCTGCTTCTTATTTGCAATTGGTCGCCAAATGCAAAAAAAATCTGATGCAATCACAAGGCCACCACCCATTTTTCATAGTCATAATGGGGTTGCAGTGCTAGTTTTATACTAGTGCAACTGAGCTATTATGAAGGAAGAGCAGAATGTAATCTGCCCCATCATGCAAGTCTTTGTTGGATGGGTTGACTATCCATTAAAGCTGTGTCCGCACAACAAGTGATTCTCAGCAGTGCTGTGACCAGAGACCACAAAGTCAACCTCAAGTGACTATAGATCAAAAAAACTGCTAACAAAGCAAAGTGGACAAGTCCAAGATAAACTTTTCTCAAAATTGAGGCAATCGATTGAAGTGACTACCAGAGAGATGCTGGTGATTGACTTACAACCTGGTAATCAATACAGAGCATAACCGAGGCAACCAGAGCCTGGAATGATCGCTAGCAACCAACTGTTGGTTTCAGATGCATGAATTGCTCCCTGTGTGGACACGGCTCTTCAGGATGTAACAAAGAGGAAAAAGTAAACAAAAAGTATGAATAAAGTAAAATATTGTAATTGACAGAGTTGATCATTTTTAGTCAAATTAGTATGATAGAGATAAATATGAATGCAGCAGAACCTTTTTATTAGATGGAATCAGTATTTTCCAGCCTTGTTTAGTAGTATTCTAATATTCCCACAGGGCTGTCTCCTTACGACAACCACTGAGAAATCAATGTCGAGTTTACAAACTATAGTAAAGCCTATCCATCCTCTCTCTAGTACTAACCTCTCCATTAATAATATCCTCCTTCTTATTAACATTATACCCATATATTCCTAACACTGTTTTCTCTAGAAGGGCACCTACCAAAGCTTCCGGGGTATTTGTTTTCTAGTGCCCGGCCATGTATTTCCCAAATACTATACAAAAGGAGTAAAACAATATTTAAAGCAGCACAACATCATCTGAGTATTCATAATATTAATAATGTTCATATTAGCAATGTAGGATCCATGGCATGTGGTAAAGAGCGAGGGAGTCTTGACGCCACTTACTTTTTGCTTGTTGCTGCACTTATTAACACATTTCAGCATTAACTGTCCCCAAACTAGAGGCCCTGTAGTCTGGCTCAGTGGATTCATCTTTATCATCTGGTATTGTAAACTAGATGCTTATTCTATCCACATGAATAAAAAAAAACATGTCTCGGAACGATAGCAGCTATTGGCATGAAAACAAAGAAGGAAAAAAAAGACCAGTAAATAAAACTATATCAGCACAATTGAAACACAACAATCAGTACTTACTCTGTAACAGAGCTCATGTCTTAGACATTAGTACAGTTAGGAAATTCCCTTGTAACAATTCTCTCCATATTTCTGCCAATTCCACCTGAAAAAAAGAAGAAGAGGTGAACAAATTATTAAACTGAGTAAATAAAATAGCAGGGGACTGCTGTGGCATGATTTGGTTTTTTTGTGTTTTTTAATTAAATGGCTTGTAGAGGCTTTTATATTTAATTGCATCATTCATGCATTTTGCCTGAAACACACTAAAAGAACATGGCTTATCCGAGCAGGGCTGAGCTGGTGATGACGGTAGGCTGATAAGATACAATCGCCGTGACAAGTGCGGTCATTCAGATCGTGCAGACACTGGCTTATTCGAAAGTTGAACTTCAGCGTCTCAAACATCTCAGTTCAATAAATTCAGCCATTTGTATAGAGCAGCCTGAACCTAATTTCATGTTCATTCTCATAAGTAATAACCTGCAATAAATTCATTAAGGTGGAGACCTGGCTGTCAGTTCAGATTTACAAAAGACATACAGATTTTTTTTAGCTTTAAATTAATCTTATAAGAGGGATGTTTTAAGAGGTCAACTTGTGTAGCCTGCAGCAAATTGAGTATTTAATATAAAAGATAAAATGAGCTTTAAAATTGAGATCGGAATTCTAGTGCTTTTTAAAATGAACCAGAAACAGTAACTGAATATTAACTAAAGGGAGCTCTTTCACCTCAATAAAGCTAAAAGCACAGCTCAAAGAAATGAGCAGAACACTTGATTGTCACAGTATAACACAGTTGGTTAAACATCAAGTTTATCAGTCTGTTCAGTTAGGAAGCATAAACTATTGTAAATCCATTTCACCTGCTTTGGTAACAGTGAAAGTGACAACAGGTTCACTGGAGAGGCAACAACAAGACAGCTGCTAAAAAAGGAATGTTTCTGCAGGAGGTGGTCACAGACAGTTGCTCTCTCCTTATCCCCCCCGACTGATTTTTCTCTTATTTTGCTTTTTATTAGTGTCCTTGTCACTACTGGTAGCATGAAACAATACCTGCAGCCCATTCAGGCTGCACAGGTAGCTGCCCCAGGATGGCGCATCCATACATGCCATCACAAAAACTTTGGTGTATGTCTAAGGACAGTCTCAAGATTGTGGACATGATACCAAAAGACTGGCTAATACATGCAGAGAGGTGGACAAGACCGAAGAAGGGCATCAACCAAGAAGCAGGATCGGCCTCTGCTCCTGTGTGTGTGGAGAAACAGGGGGAGCACTGCCAGAGCCTTACAGAATGACCTCTAGTGGGCTCATTGTGCATATTTCTGACCAAACTGTCAGGAACAGACTACGGGAGACTGGGATGAAGGACTGAAGTCCTTTAGTGGGACCTGTGCTCACAGCCCACCACCGTGCAGCTTGGCTGGCATACGCCAAAGAATGCAAAAATTGGCAGTATCCACCTCTGATCCCCTGTTGGCTTCACAGATGAAAGCAGGTTCGCTCTGACAATGAGTCAAAGAGTCTGGAGACACCATGGGAAACTTTATGATGTCTGAAACATCATCCGGCATTACAAGTTTTCGCGTGGGTCAGTGATGATCTTATCCTTATCCTTGCAAGGTCATACAGACCTGCATACACAGACTGCTGTTTGGTACCAGGAGGGAATCCTCAGAACTTTTGTCAGACCCTATGCCGGTCTACATTGCTCTCATGTGTCCAGAGGGCATTTAAGGCAGTGATACACTGACTGGCTCTCATATTACCAGGCCAGGGCTGATGATTTTGGTTACAATTGATGTCGTTGCATCATTTTGTTTGCAACAAATTATAGATTATACATCAGTAAATAGTTACAACTTAGATATGTCATTCATCAAGATGTGGTGTTTGACTTAAGCGTTTCATGGATTTTTTTTGAGCAGTATACTTATTTCCTTCTGTCTGGATGGCTGCTGTAAAGAGACAGAAATGAGTTAATATGTTTTCAGACATGTTAACTTCCATTTCTATATCAAATGATTCTTATTCTAGTTAGGTTTTGTTTCAAATCTAGATGGTTCTATTTTATTTCAGACCAATACATAACAAACATTACTAATGAAGCTGCAATGAACCATTTTTGTGGTTGCTTTGGAAAGCAAAAATAATTAATATACAGATCTGTTCAGATTTATGTGGCCAATTGTTTTTCAGTAAACATGTTACTTTGCACAACCAGTTGTTACAAAATAACACGATCCCCTCTTTCAGCTCTGTGTTTGGTCTCCTATAAAGTTTTTATAGCTGCAAAATGTCTCAGTATTTTTGCCATCTAACTTTTAATCTTGACTACTTGCTGTTTGGTGCTGAGCTGCTGGTGTTTTTAGAGCTTTTCACAATAACAGTGGACTCAACATGCTAGTTGCAGATTGCATAGCTAAGGTTAAGTCCACTGTAAAGCCCTGCAAAGCTGAGGGGAGCTGCAGAGTCAGAGGTTAATTCTCTGTAGGTTCATCAATAAGAACACCTTTCAAGCTGTCCTGTCACATTGCCTTTTGACACACTATTATTAGAAAACAACTCAGAATCGATTTAAGGATGTCACTTAAGAGTAACCATCAATGGAGCACATGCAGGATACACCCGAGACTGATAGCTGTGACCAATTATGTAGCCGAATGAGAGGTGCTCTTCAAAAGTTACTGCTTCAGTGTTTTGTCTCTTTGACCAAGAGATGACATTTGATACTCCTACACTGAGTCTAGTGAATTCAGGTGTAATTTTTGGAGGTTACATGCAGTACAAGCCTCATCCTCCTTTCAAAAACAGTTTCCTTTTTCCACATACAGCATCAATTTTGTACGTACAAATGCTAATCAGAGAATTCTAACTTGTCTTCCTTAGTTGATTGCTAGGAAGACTGGTCCTGACAACTTCCTGTCTTGTATAATGTATCATACATGAATCCCCTTTCCAGCATAATTAATCCCCATTTCAACTCAACTGTAATTTTCTACGGAGCCCATATGAGCTGTCATTTTAATCATTTAGTATTAACATATATCAAATGAAAGTCCTTAACTAAGCTGCCAAAAAAATGTTCATTTAAGTCTGTCAGATACTGCTTGAAACATTCAAATCTTCCTTTTAACCTTCATGAATTCTGACTGTAATTTTACTTAATAGCTTCAGCGGCATTGTGACAGCTACCAGTGATAAGAGATTCTTCTTCGTTTTAAAGCATGTAAGGATATTTGGACTAAAGTGAGGACACATAAAATCACTGAACCCACACATTAATTAAATTAAACTCTCTAAGGAAATATTTCCCACTGGCTGGTGGAAGACCTGCCTTACAAGACATGGAAGGTTCAGTACTGTATAACAAATGTGCTCTATTTATTCCACATTTTTAAAAAGAGTTCACAAAATTGTGTAGGTAAATCATCGATGGCAATACTCAAAACAGATGAACAATCATATTAATCCTGCAGTAAGCTGAACAGCGACTTGGACTAACAGATGGTAGACTTTATAACGTTCCTGTAAAATAGTGAAAACCGAATACAGCAGACTCAGCTTTCTGGGAACATTTATATCTCAGCCAGAATTGGAATACATGAAAATCAAACCAAGCTGATGAGTACTAATGAAATCTTTAAGCAGCAGGTTGTAAATTCATTTAGCATAGCGAGCCACAGATTAAAGGCCCCATGCTGCTCTGCCCTTTTCTAAATAAACACTCTCGAAAGCAACTAAAAAGGAGTCAATTTGTTTCAGATCAGCAAGGACTTGGTTGAAACAGCTGAGAAATGAAGAACAGCCAAAGTGCTGAGTGACCAGAAAAAAGGCCTGCAGCCCACATGTCTGTGTCAGGAGCACTGCAATGCTAGTTTTGTCAAACAGTCCACACCGTCTGCAGGGACTGAATAGTTCTCATCTAAAAGACATCACAGCGGATGTCAAGCATAGCAATCAAAAAGTTAACTTGTCATGGTGATATCTGGTTTCTGTGCAGATGCTGCAGTTGTGCTCGGGCTGTGCAAATTGCAAAAATATGACACACAGCATTGATAAAGACGTCGCAGCACCTCAGACACGCACTGAATTCTAATGTATTTTTGAGTAGTTTCACTAAAAAAATAAAAAACATGCCATTTTAAATAAGAGCAAAAAGAACATCCTCGTATTTTGAGTCTACGCTATATTAAATTTCAGATTTATTCAAATGCTCAGTGATGTTTTTTAGGGCAATAAAAAGTTAATCAGCATCTGTCTTTTACAATAACATTCAGCCTTTAAACCCCGTATTAATAAAATACATATTATTACATTAAAAAATAATCACAGTAGGTTCTCATATACTCTTAATGTGGGCCTGAAATAAAAGCTTGCATCATGATACACTGTCTCTTCAATGATTGAAAGCAACAAAGTACATTCGTGGGGAACTTATACTGTACTTGACTATTTGACATTTATACTATATGTTTACACACTATGTTTTAACATAAAGTAGGTCCAGCATTTTATTGAAATATATGATCTAACATGTTAATACAGTATGTAAGGCAGAAACAGAGCTTGCACAATTGGAACAAGCTTGAAAGTGAATATTTGACCTGATCATCTTTAACTCTCTTAGCAGCATTCTTGTAATTTCTTTAAGTAGTCTTCAGGAATAGTTCTCCAGGGTTCTTGAAGGACTTTCAAAGCTCTTATTTGGATGTTGGCTGCCTTTTGTTCCTGTTCTCTATCAAGATGATCCCAAAATCCTTCAATAATGTTGAGATCTGGACTCTGAGGAGGCCAATCTGTGACTGCTACTATTTCAATTTGTGCTTTTTCTATCCTGTAGACACTCACTGTTGTACCTCACTTCTGACCTCCTCCATTCATATTGATTATGATTTGAACAGAAAACTTCAAATGTGGACTGATTACTCCATGAGACCAGTTTCCTCAACTTTTTTTAAGGATACACTGCACAGATCGCTGCAATCTGCCAGGTTTTTAGCTAATAGCACCATAAGAATCACCTTGTTGTTGCAAAAAGTAATATTTTGTGTTTTTCAATCTATATTGTTAACATTTTTCATACAAATTACATTTTTTGACAGGCTAACAAAGTGCCAAACAATACAATTTAAAATTGGTTCTTTGTTAGGTTTTCTGTGATGTGTAGATACAACACTGTTAATTCTGTAAGCCAAGAGCCTTTTTAAGGTTAAATGATTTATACCTCAGTGTTAAGTGGTTCATAAAAATACTCTGAAAATGGTCAGGTACAAGAGCTGCACTGAAAATAAGTAAAAAAAGCAACCAATGTCAAAAGAAAAACTTTGAAAGACCTTCAGAAAGCCTGGAGAATTATTGCTCCTGACCATTAAAAAAAATTAGACATAGCATGGGTACTTGGAAGCAACATATATAGAAAAGAGGGATGCCTCACAACTTTTGCACAGTAGTGCAGCCTCATTAGAATGTAGATTTTATGTCACTACTCCATTAGTAATAATTACAGCACATTTTTCAACAACACAGTCACAGTTTGCCTGCAGTAAAGGCATTTTGAAAGGGTTACCTATGTTCCTCGCCTCCAGCTCTTTTTCCATGAGTTCTTTCTGGGAGGGAAACTCACTGAGCTTGACCTTGGACATGGTGTCATTCTGACCGACTGTGCTTATCACTTCTGGATCCTTCTCATGGCTGTCCTCAGTCTGAACGTGGACCCAAGGGATTTTCCTAAGAGACAGCAGAGCAATAAAGATGATTAGCTTTTGATTATCAAGTGAGTTCAACAGTATTTACTTCGTTATCTCAGTAAACATACCTTTTGAACTTGTAGATGAAGAATGCAGCTAAACCAACAAACACCACGATGAGCAGCATCAGCATGGCCGACCCACTGGGAAGTGAGTTTGAGTCCACAAGTGGTGCTGAAAGCCAAACACCATAAATGAGCACCAAACTTTTTACATAATATGTGTTAAACTCATTACTTTTTCCTAAACCATGTCCTATTCCAAGGATATTACTTCATTACCCAATGTCATGAAGAGCATATCCCTACATGTTATCCCCTCAGGGCATAAAAAGCACCTTTAGGAGGTCCACTGCTTCTCTCCAGGGTTCATACTGCATGCAGCAGTAGCTTATGCATAGTCATGGCTTTATAAATGCTGAGATGCAATATTCAAAGTATTTCCTCTCACTGCCCATCTTTCTCCCCGTCACAGAGAAGCCTATGAAGTCTTTGACCTTTCCCGATCATTTTAAAGGCAACCCAGACCTTTGTATGCAGACACAAATGAAGACAGATCCATTGGTGGATGAAAAGGGTAAAGACACGCGAGGTGATCGACACGTTTTTACGATATGCTAATGACCCGGTGACCCTGTGAATTTCCCGTGCATATCAAACACCTGCTTTGTCAATCATGTGATTGATTGGCTGACTTCAAAGAGAGCTACTGTCTCATAGCCTCAGGTGCAAAACTGGCACTCTGTGAAGGATATTTAAATCCTGTGATATACAGCATTGTCCGTCTCTCAGGAAACACTTTGTCTTTGCCTTGCTTTATTTTTTCAGAGCGTTGTTAAAATTCAATGTCAAACCAGTCTAACGAAGACACATCTTATCTAATGCTCTGTGGATCTGTAGACATGCTGTATTAATCTGCCGTAAAATAAGCCTAGGGCCTGTTTGAGTGTTTTGTTTTCACATATCTCTAAAAGGGTTTCAATGTAACGACTGCTGAAAACTTACCCAGAGTTTGCTGAGTCATGTACACAATAATGCGAATGTCAGCTTTCAGTTCAAACTGGATCAGGCCTTGGTTCAGTGCAGTGACAAAAATATTTGATATCTGTCACAGGATTTTAACAAAAACACACAGAAAACACAAAGGTTCACATTAAAATTTCATGAACAAGCAAGACATTTTTGGAAAAGAAAAGATTGATACAATAATTAGCTCAGCTTAGCATAATGGCCGGTGGCGCCATTGACTGGCTCTCTCCATTGTTCAAAGATTCGCCCGATAATTAACACATTTCAGTGCATTTGTCTTGCGTTTTGCACTTACTTTGTTTGAGTCCTAGCAAAATAAGCAGTCTGCGGATCTTTTGTGAGCTCAAAAGCTTTTGCTCAAGATCATTTAACAAAAAGAAATAAAAATCAACTATTCTGACAAAAAGACAGGAGCCTGAGATGGAAGTGGCAGAACTGAAGATGTTAAGAGTTTTACTGAGGATGTAGTGAAGGAGGACGTGCAAGTGCTTTTGTGACAGAGGAGGATGCTAGGGATACGCTAAAAGAAGAAGAAGGAAAACAGAAGAAATAAATACCAACTATGGAAACATGCCATATGAACAAACAGTCTTATTATCCTATTAACAGCCTTTAGGTCCTCTTAAATATCTAGCATAAATATAAATACAATGTATCTTTAATGTCCAGGAAACAGCAGCTCTACATAAAAGCTGACATGATCTACATTATTGTGGCTCTTACCATCTCAAGAGCCGCTTCGCTCCCACTCTTGTGCTCAGTAGATGTCTGCTCATCAGGCAGAATAAAGAGCTCTGCTGTAGTTGGAAGCCCTGGATACAGAGATACCAGCAGCTGATCTTCATGAATCCCAGACACCTGCAGTGACGCGAAAACACGACAGCCAGGTATGGCTTTACTCTGAAGGCTAAATTCACACTAAATAATGTGTCTCCTAAACAAAATAAAAGAAGAACACATGGGTTACAAAACATCATGACTGCTGTGTCATTTTAGCGCACCCGTATAAAATAGTAATGACCCTGAAAGCCATTGGTGTTCGCTGTCAACTGCAGGAAAGATCTCTTAGGAACTGATGTACCTGTGATAGAGCTGTCCGCACCACACGGCCTATGTCCTCCCTCCATTCGGGGATGTCAGGATTGTGCTCATCAAGCGCTGGCGAAAACGACAACAGCAGTGACCTGAAGAACTCTGGAAAAAAGGTGAAGTGATGTCTGTTAGAATATTAACGCTACTTCTAGTTTAGGTTTTGATTAATCTGATGTGCAGTTTTGTCCTTTTTCATTTGGCAACATCTGCCTTGAAGTTAATTGCTCCTCGAGATTTCGTGTTCGCATACCGTGACATTTTATTCATTAGATAAGTCCACGTTGACATCAACGTGGCGAAGCTTGCAGCGCTGACCGAGAGGCATCACACTTTCCCTGAGATAGCATATTGCATATTCATGTAACAGGCATCTCTCCAATTAAAGTGCTTTGAAGACTGTCTCCCCCACTCACCTTTAACAGTTGTAACTTTTGAATCCTGCATTACAGTGCTCCCAGAAGCAACCTGGACCGTGACCTTGCTTTTTCCTTCGCTCTGAAATGTGTGTGAGATGCTTCCCTCCAAGGTTATAATGGGCTGGATTTCAAAAGGAAAAACACAGAGAAATGCACAGAAAAAGCTGCATCCTCATGGCTGAATATAGAACACTACGTATATCTACTGTATAATGAGGGGATGCTGCGCTGAACACAATCAATCTCAGGCAAATATAATCAACCATCCAAGCTGGATCCTCCAGAATGGCACAGGGCAGTCACATACTGTCACTTTTTCCATGATTTGTGGGGAGATCTGTGTAGATTTACACTTTCAGATTACAAACAAGAGCACAAAGACATCAAGGGAGGAGTGGGAAGATGGGGAAAAAAGCAGCAGTAAAAAGGATAAATGCCTTGTGTGTATAGAAGAATGGTGGGAGGAAGTGGAGGAGGAGAAGCGTCTCACCTCAGAGCTGTTGTCAAACCACCAGAAGAAGGTCAATGTTCTGGTGTGGCTCGGCCAAACCACTGCAGTCAGATTAGCCTCCTTCCCTCTGACGGCTACAATGGGAGCGGAGAGATACACCCGCTCTAGTGGACCTGCGGCGATGACAAATACGCCATCATATATCCATACATGCATCGAATGAATGCAGCCAGCAAGAAAAGTATTATTGTGATCGCAGTTGATGTACATTTAGCTTCAGGTGTGTGCTTTTGCATTTTCCAAGGTTAAAATGCATAAAAGTAGTAAAACCATGACTGAAATGCAATTCAGCGGGAACGTGACTATCTATGAAAGAAAAGAGGTTTATGCTATCTGCACAGCCTCAGGAATCAGTAATGATGTTTCTTATTCACATACTGGTGATGTGTAAAAACAGTGTGCTGCTGTCAGATCCTTGGCTGTTTTCTGCAGTAGCTGTCACGCGGTAAATCCCAGTCGTTCTATAGATGTGCTTGATGCCATCATCCGCCCTGCTCAGGTTAGAGTACGTGATCTTGATGCCATCTCCAAAGTCTAGCTGGATGCTGGTCCTCAGCGAGTCTCCCTGTGGACAGATGGTATTACATAGCATCTGTCATCATGGCTTAGGTCAGGATACTTTCACTTGGACCACATGCAAGGGAAGAACGATCAGTCTGCCGCTGAAGTGCTGGAGCTGAGATGTCATATAGGCTGTGTCATAAAAACTTTGAAGGTGAATATGAATGGAAAAAGACAGAAATTCAGCAGAGAAAACAAGCAGAAATGTGAAAAGAGAGACGCAGAAGCAAAAAAGGTCATGAAAGAGTCCCAAAGTAAGATGGAGGAGTTTATAATCTGGTGTCATTTTTCCAGCTGATCACTCAAAAACAGACACATTGCCATCACCAAAGTGTTTTTCATACAAATTACAGAAACTTTAACAACAAACTTTTGGTTTTATTACTCAGGCTTTGAGCTATCTGTAGTGAGATGCCACGCTGAAACAAAAGATCAAATAAACTTCATTTGTGGTGATCAAAGCTATGAAAAATTGCACTTTAAAAACATTCAGCAACACCCTGTCAGGCATTTCAGAAGAATCTAGTTCCAATTAAATTAGTTAACAATAAGATCTCAGGACTAACTTCTTCCTTAACTAACCTCAAATTGTTTCTTTTTCTTACATTTAATGAACTTACAAAGAGGTGCAAATCTATGTTATGTTAAAAGAGGTAAATTTGAGTGGAACAGGGAACAAGGAAAAACAATGTTTGAGGTGATATTTCATAAATACATCCATTTTTCAGGCTAAAGGTTGTTTTTTTTGATAACCTTCGAGTTAAAGCCGTTCAAGTTTTTGGGCAATCTATGTAAATCCTACAAGGTACACACATTGCATTCAGATCTGGTTTTTGGTGCAGTAATGTGCTGCTGTGAATATATTAGTCATAAATAGATCAACGTTGTATATATTAGTATTTTGAATATCACACTTTTCTCTTTTCTGCATTTGTCTTTTGAAAAAATCAATACATATTTCCCAGAAGAGAAGTCTTACAAAATATTCCTGAGAATAATTTGAGATTTCAGATTACTTTTAAATGAGGTTGATAACTACCATCATCATTTCCAGTTCCATCCATTTTTGTAACTGCTTATCCAATTCTGGGTAGTGGAGGAGGGGGCTTAAATCGACGTTCTTTTCTTTGGGTTAGGGTTAGGAAAATGAAACAATGAACACCTCGGAAGAAATTAAGAAACCGTCTTCCTTCCTTTTATGTGGTCTTTTCTATCACTGGCTATTATATTCTTTTTTTCTCTCTCCTCCAAAATGAATCTCAGTCGTGCCTCATGGAGAACTGGATGATGATTCCTCGTAGGCTCCCAGTTCCCGCCGAGCGAGCCAGACCGATGGACGACATCTGGAATCCGATGCTGTTTTCTGGCAGACGATGACGACATCAGCTCAAATAGCTTCTTCAGTCTCTTAAACTCATCTGAACTGATGCAGATCCTATTGCCTTTCACATCATGATATTGTAACATGCAGCTTTCCCAGCCCCTCCGTTTTTTGCTTTGTTTATCTTTTTAAACAAGCTTATATACGTTTCCTTTCTGGAATCAACTGTACATCAGTTGTTCTATTTGCTGTCCTCTCTGTTGCATAATTTACTATTAATTATGTTTTGTAAGGTGACCTTGATTGTCAGCGCCATTTAGTAAAGTTTTTTATTATTACAATCAACTCTGAAACCAGTTTTCACATTTTTCTTTTACATCTTTTACGTCCCTAATTATTTCAGATCATTTATGCTAGCCTGTAGGCCATCATTAATTGAGAATAACATCCTTTGTAAATGTGTCCATCTCCAGCAAGGCACATTGTTTCTTACAGGTTTTAATAGGAGGTTCAGTTTGTCACCATAAATTATATTTAAACAACAAAATATAGTAGCTGAAAAAGAGGACATAGCATGTCTGATTTAATGGGCACTTGAGCAGATCTTTTCTTTAAAATTTGCTCCTACCACCTCCTACCACACTCAAATGGAAAAGTATTCAACATAACATCCTCACTTCTATATAACAGCAAGAGAAAAGTAAATGAGTCATTCATTTAGCTTAGGAATTAGGAAAAAAAAAGCAGGAGAGTACTAGCCTGGGTTTGGTTCATTATGCAATATCTGCTTCTTCTTACACTGCAGTGACTTTTAGGTGTAATAACTCACCTCATTGAGGGAGACCATAAAAGTAACGTTGCTTCCAACAGGGGAACTAAGCTCTCCCTGACTGGTAGACAGCTGGAGGCCCCGGGGTGCTCTGGGATGACACGGCTGCCTCCTGGGCGAGTACACATTCCTCCCTGCCTCCTTACAATTATTGGACAAAACCTTCCGATACCTTTTGAGCATAGAGTAAGTAAAGAGCATTGTCACATCGCATAACAGAACCCAGCATTAGATACATGTTTTACCAGTTTTCAAAAAACATAAAGACTTAACTGTTAAGTGCCAGTAAATTTTCATAGAGCTCACAGCTATTTACAAAAAGAGGGGAAAAAAATGTTTTTCCCAAAAGATTTTTTTTCTTTGTTCACCACTATCACATTTATTTTTTATTTATTTCCGCTTGGAAGATGCTCCTCAGTTTTATTTCTGCAATTTAGTGCAGGAAAATAGCACCCAGCAACAGCACATAGTGTGCATTTGGCAGGCTGAAATATAGACCTCTATGAGCACACTTAATTTTGTCAGTTTCCTGAATGTAAAAAAGCTTCATAACCAAAAACCTGTTTTGAATTATTATACATTATGAATTATTATATATTTTAGAATTGGGAAATAATGCAGATTGGGCCCTCCGAGCCCTATTTCTCAACCAATAGGAAGTAAACTGTTATTTTCTGTTTATGTACTACACAACATGACAAAAAAGGTGTAATGGGATATTGTTTTGTGATGGACTGAACACTGGGGGCCACTTACCCTGTGCTGTTTAGGAAGCTTTGGCTGGTGCTGCAGCTTTTAGCCGCACCGTTTGGATTAAACCAAAAAGCAGGGGAGCAATTCCCATCTGCCTGGCGCTCCCATCCATAATCACTGCCAAAGCAAAGCAAAACAAAACAAAGCAAAAAAAACTTCATGAAATGATAAACACTGCTACTCAGAGTAATCTAGCTATCCACGCTTTTGTAGTGGGGCAAATGCTTTGCATTTGGAGCTTCATGGCATATTTTAAGACCATAACTAGAGACATGATTGTCAGACATGTGGGATCAAACAGAATTTCAGACAGATGGATAAAAGATATTTAAAATTCATTTAACGATCCATTATTAATTGAATTCTAATAAGTCACTTGATATTATGCAAATCACAGCAGCGCGATGAAAAGTTCTTAACTCCGATCCATATTTTTCAAACTATAATTATATCCGATGAACAGAGTCATATTGGTTATTCTGTAAATATGCCGTGTAAGAGGGATATTAAGCCTTATGAAGTTCTGCAAACTGATACTTTTGTTCTTTTATTACAGCCCTAATTACACACAACTGAATTAGATGTTCAAAGTAGAGAGGCTGTTTGGTAAACATGTGATGAAAGAAATTAAGAGTCACTGGGGATAAAAAAAAAAGTGAGTTACAATATATTCCCTGCTAGGAACACTGAATACAAGCCATTACCATTCGAAATCATAAGCTGTGCAGGGGCATGGCTCTGAGGAATAGATCCTGGAATAGTCTTGGGCCAGCATGCAACGGTTGCCTGGCCTGCGCTTCATATAGATCTGCTTCTCACCCATCACACAGAGCTCTCCCTATATCGCAAAGAAGGAAAGAAAAAAAGCTTGTCTTCTTTTTCACAAGTCTGAAAGAAACAAATGTGCAAACACGCGCTCGAATCGTTAATAAATCAGAAGTGATTAATAATCCTGTTACCTTGTTGTGCAGGTACCATGTCTGATAATCTCCATCCATGCATCTCCTGCTAAAGAGGCCTTTGTAGTCAATCTTAATCAGTTGCCACTCTGACCGATGGCTGAAGTGCCCAAAGAAACTGAAAGATGATGCATAAGAAAAGCAAGATTATCTTGAGACATAGACACGCAGTTTTCTGATATCATATTCAGCACCTGCAATCTGAAGTCTGTCATTAATGTTAACAGGCAACATAAAATTCCTCTTGATTAGAAGTCTAAGTTAATCAGTTGAACCTTTCCTTGTTTATATCAACACAAGAGTTAATTCTTCAGATTTGATATTGTTCTATTCCTCTTGGACGCTACCCATGTGTCTCCTTACGTGATAATATGATTGTCAGACTCTGGCTCCATTAAAACTCCATCCACATACAGAGGAGCCAAGGAGAAGCTGTGGCGGTCCCATTTCTTTCCTTCATCTAGACTGATCCTGCGTAAAGGAAGACAACAACTGTCAGTGGACGAATATCTACCTACCGTTGTTTATCTAGCTGTAGTAGATAAAATCATTGTTTTCTCTGTGCGTGTAACATTAAACATCACAAGCACACAGGTTACAGAAACAAAAAGCAAGAACAAAGAAATATGATAAAAGATTTGAGTTCATTTAGCTTTTGCCGCGGGTGAAAAATGAAGCACCTTGAATTCTCTTCAATGTGAAAAATTATCTTGACAACAGACTGAACAATAGAACAAATGTTCCTTGGCCCAGGTAGATTTTTGAAGGTGACAACAGAAAAGAGAGATATGACTCAGGTTGTAACATTAGAAATAGATTTGGGGGGTTTCAAATCACCTCTCTCGGAGCTTAATCACATTTGACAGGGCTGTAGTGTGCAGGGACATCAAAGTAGATAGTGTTACAGAGCTCCCACAATATGAGGGACTTATGAGGGCATTCTGAGTCTCATATTTCCACCCTGCTCTACTCCTCATTTACATAAAAGCACTCAAACCATCATATCCAACTACGAGTACAAAGCTGTAACAGACTCTCTTCCGCTGGAAATGACTCTGACGGTACTGAAGCTGCAGCACCGATACAATAATCATGCAAACTTGGCCCATCAGCATTTTAAAACATTAAATATAATCATATGCAGCACCCCCCCCAAACAAAATTGCACTCGTGTAATTTCCCACTACAACCCCAACACCTACAGTTTCTATCTACAGTATTTATGGGATTAGAGATTACTGAAGAAGCTTATACCTACCATAAGTGTCGAATTGGCGCCGCTGCTTGCAATACCGCCAACAAAGCTCCTCCATTGTCAAGAAACCAAACGTTGTACTCTTCATCAAAAATCTGAATCGTAAATTTGAAAAAGAGACACATTTGCTCATTTTATTAGGCAGCACCATTCTTTAAGGTAACCATGCAAAGCGTGTCATGGATGTCACCTGTCTCCAGCTATTTCCTGCGTCAGATGTTATAAACATCCCAAGGTTGGCGGAGGACAGCTGTGTTCCAATATTCCCTGAGTCCAAAAACATGCATAATTTCAGTCAGCATTTACATAGCAAAGACTCACTATAGCTCATAACTCACCTATGTGCACAATCAGCTGATAGAAATCACTCAGAAGCTATGTACGTTCTCATTTTCCACTGCAGGAAAATGACAGTTTACGATTTAGCCTGATCTAATCATCTCACCTGAAATATCAGATTTAGCCTGAGAAGTTTTCATATTTGACTTCAATGACATAAAGAGGGCACTGTGTGATTAATTGTGTGTTAGCTGAACTGCTACAATGTATTTACCTGAAAAACAATGAATAGCTACAATACTGTGCAAAAGTCTTGAGCCATGGCTCATTGCTTTATATTTGGCTGCAGAGGATACGGGACTGTCTTGCAATTTTTATAGGGGTCTTCAGCGATAGTTCTCCAGGCTGTCTGAAGGTATTTCATAGATTTCCTTTGGACATTGGCTGCAATTGTTCTCCTTTTCAGTCCAGTTTTTGTGCCTGACCATTTTCAGCAATAAAACAAATATCTTACCCAAAACATGAACCACCGTTGTGTCTCCACATCAGTGGAAGCAAGGAACCAATTTTAAACTATTATCGTTAGCAATTTTGTCACAATATCATGCAATTTATTCTGAGTTCTTTAGTTGAATCTACAAAAAATGTCAAAGATAACACATTTTGACAGGTATAAAGTAGTAAATGAAAAAGGGAGAAAAGCCTGAGGTTTGTCAAAATTACACGACACCTGAATGGGTCTGGATAGCAATGACACTTACCAGTGAAATTGAGTGATATGAAGTTTTTGTTTCAAATTCCTCTCATCTCCTCAAATTCTCAATATTATCAACATGTATGGAGGAGGTCAGGAGAGAGGTACTACACTGAGTGTCTTATACTAATCTGTAAAACATGGTGGAGACTCTGTAATGGTTTACCACAGCATTGAGGATCTTCTCAAAACTGATGAAATTATGAACACAGAAAAGTACACATTTCAATTCACCATGCAACACCATCCGCAAAGTGTCTGGAAAACAACGGCTTCATTTTTCAGCATGACAGTGATCCCAAACACACTGTCAATATAAAAAAAACATACCTGGGTAAAAAACAGACCGTGGAATACCATCAGCCATGGATTGGCCTCCCTAAATCTTAGGCCTCAACATTAGTGAAGCCATGTGGGATCATCTTGACAGAGAATGGAACAAAAGGCAGCCAACGTCCAAAGAAGAAACCTGGAGAAGAATTCCTCTATAATACTTAAGGAAATGATAAGGAAGCTTGCCTAACAGAGCTCAGACTTTGTTGAAGTTCAAATCAACTACTGACTTTCAAGCTCAAATGAACTGTACAAACTCTGTGCTTCTATATTTAATTTCCATATAAATGTGCACATGTTTCAGTTCTCCAGTGCATCTATCTCCTATTTTTCTATCAAATTATTTAAAAAATGAGAGGAGACTCAAGCCTTTTGCACAGCACCTTAAATTCATGTCCTAATGTAACTCTACCTGTAGCCACAATGATTCCTGGAACAGACTTTTTGCTGGTGATTGGTCCGGATGTGTAAGGATTCTCTGACATCTCCAGTTGAAGATGCAGTGAGCAAAATGGCTGTCAACAAAACGGATTCAAATACAGCACAAGTTGAAACAATATATATCTCAGATCTTAACAGCAGCAATTATAATTAGCTCGGCTTTCAAACTATTCTTCCCGTTGAGCGAAAAATGTTAACATTTTCAGACACCATTTATAAAACAAAGATACTTTGTTCCTCTCATCTCCTCTGCTAGGAGAAAAAAAAAGAAATGGCTGAGGGGACACAGAGGGCATTTGAATTGTTTCATTCTAAAGCAAACAAGGCATGTAATTAAAATTCCCCAAGATGCACTGATAAAAATGGCAAAATTGATTCAAATCATTTCACTCATCTCCCCGAATAAAGCGTACCGAAAAACATCAATAAGGCTTTTCATACGGCTGAAGTTGGAGGAGGGGGTCAGGAAACAGAAGAGAGCATAGTGGTCATTTGTAAGACACACAGAAAGACTATAGCCTGCTATTAATTGAGGAATGTACATGATTTTAAATGGTCTCTGAAGAACATATTGACTGGATTAGGTGAACATCATACCTGCTGAAAAACACCACAGCCACATAATGTAATTCAGTGCAATCTAACTTTCATTAGTCCTGTTTGACTACAGTTTCAGAGGTTAATGGAAAGTCTAGACCCCTAAAATGTAATGCAATGACACTCTGTGACTTAAACTGATAATAAGAATATTCCAACAAAGCATCTTTTCAGTCATTTAGGGGACTAAAAAGACAAGTCGATGCTGAGGCTGGCACCTGGCCTGGTGCAAAAATGGCTTCGTCTCCAAGAACATCCAAAACACAGCTGATGAGGCTGAAACATTTGAGGAATGTTTCATGTCATAGGCTTAATTTTGCATGAATAAGAGCATTCATTCACTCCTGCCCAAAGGCTCAAGCTCACCAGAATGCAGTGAAGGTTATTTCCAGCCACATCAGTGGCAGGAGCTGGCAGCAAGGACCATGTTTGCCCCTTGTTGTATGTGATGAAAGTCTTTATGTAATTATCCACCAGTTTGTTGGCAAGATACATGCCATTTATCCCCTCAACCTAAGAAGGAAAACAACAAAAATGCATTCATTACTGTCAAAGCCCTTTTCACTTCTAGTTTAGAAAATCAATCTATAATTATTGACTCGTCTTTTGAGCCTCAGTGGAAGCAGGCTGAAAATACATGGCACTGTAAAAAAAAAACTCTATGAAAGGATATTTCATGTTTTGAAAAATGTTCTTTAAAAGTACAGCATCATGAGCAAAATATGTAAAGTTTTATTGTTAATAATTCAAAACAGCTTTAAATAGTTTACTGTGTAACGATGCACCATATTTTAGTAGCTGTTCAGACAAAATATACTGCCAACAAAATTCTGATTTTTCATTATAAAAATGTATTATTAGGATTAATGTTAATGGATTAAAACCTACTATATAACGACAGCTTCATAAATTAACAGTTCTCCAGCACAGTAACAGGAAAGGGAGTAAGTGGTGGAGTGCCAACATCAGTCCATAAACAAGGCTAACTACACACCTTATAAAAGTCCACTAGTAGATTACCCGCAAGTCCTCTGCTGGTTCTCAGGTTCTCTAATGAAAGGATAAAGTAGACCCCGGGAGAGTCTGAGATATACAGGCTGTAAGTGTTGTTCTGATTCCACTCTTGGACAGCAGCAAATACCTGCTTCTCATCTGTGCTGATAATATGCATGTCCTGTAGTAGGATGTGTGCGAGAGAAAAATGGACAGATGGAAAGACAGAATGGGTGAGAATGACAGATGCAGGCAAACAAACACAAAATAGTCTCAGAAGAGATGGCATTAAAAGGCTTAAATGTGACATTTCTTCATAAAAGTCATGTGACCTAACTCTTAAAACAAAAAGCAACAAAGGTGATTTGAAACAATAACAATATCTTTTCTTTTTCCTAAATATCAGACACTTTTAGGAGTTGTTATTTCTGTTGCTCACCTTTGGCAGACAATATTTAGGTAATTTCATCCGCTTGAATGATTCTCTCATGTAGGAGACAAAGTAGCTGGCTCGTCCTGACTTGGTTACCTTTGCAATGAAGGCAGAAAAGCTTTGTCACTCTGTAATCAGATCACATGCACTGTATATACCCCTGTGTCAAGAAGATACATCATATTTGAAAGCTACTTTTTCACAGTAATACAAAAAGAAAAGAAATTTAGTTCAGTGGAATTTATTTGCACATTCCCATTATAGCCGTTGCTGTTGGTATGATTTTCTCCTACATAGAAAAGCCTATGTAGACCATCAGACAAATGAAAACCAAACTGAGATGGGAGGTGTTTACAAGACATACAGTACAGTGAAAAAGGTGCAGAAAGTAAAGTGAAAGTCGTTTTCATCAGTAGCTAAAATGCCGTAAAAAAAAAAGGAAAAAAATCCCTTTACTGTGGCCATCGTTTTCTTTTAAAACAGCACTCTCCTAGGCTTGCAAACACCTTTTCAAGGTACAAGGTTATTCAAAGCATGTTGCCGAACATGTCAAACATTGCTCCTATGGATTCTCTTTCATTGGGGATTATATCTCTTTGTATAATCCTGGACCAAACCATCTCCTAGTGGAAATTGTGAAAAAATGCAATGGTACACTTACTTGTTTTTTTTTTGCTGTTTTTTCAGTAGGCAGCATATGTACTCAGCAGTCAAAAAAATAGCACGTGCATGCTAATTGATACTAATAATTACTATCAGGTTACATACTCCTTTAATGCAGTATTGATATCAATAGTGTCACCTATGCCTCCTTCAGGTGACATAGAGCTTCACACAGCCCCTCCCCTCACTAGCAGCTAAACACATGAATAGCATAACAAACTTGGGAAAGCATCTGAAAGACTGATGTCCCACTCTTCAGGAGGTCAGTGAAGCTCCTGTTCCAACAGCACTTTATTATTGAACAGTTATCATAAATTTGAACTTGTTAACAGATCTTAACGTCAGCTGTTTAGCTAACACTAGTTACCCACATCAATAAGCTAGCAGCTAGCAGCTATGGTCAACAGTAAAACAATGCTTAAAACCTTATCTTTAGCAAACCTCATCAGTTCTGCCTATCTGTAACAGGATAGCAATTATTTGTGTCTGAAAAACTTGTGTTTCTGTAAAAGTCCCAGACTGAAGCTGGGAAACAGATAGAAAGAGTAGCAGTCTAGCTCTGACTGACAATAAAAACATGATTCTAAATCACCTGAAAGACGTAAAATAAACAGGTTTGAAGCTGAATACATCTGCATAAAGCACTATTTTTAAAAATAAAAATAGTAACATCTGCATATGTAAAAAATATAAATATATAATAAAAATATTTTTCTGGGTATCGAATTTTAAATTCAACCTCTCTCTGATTATATGTTTAAGTTTGCCATAATGCTACAAATTGAATCTGGAGCCAATCAAAAGCCTCCTCGACTGTACTATACGACACACAGATATCAAACAAATTATAGTACCTAATATTTTGTACAGCAATGCATGAGAGTTGGACAGCACCCCGCTCTGTTGTGAAAAGAGGGCATGCCTAGACTTCTATCGAAGGTGGTATATGAACACTGCTTTCCAGAGTGTTGAAAGCAGACAAAAATTAAGCACAACAGAAATTACTGTCATTATCTCAATTAGTCTAAAGCTAAGAGGCACTGAAAATTGTGCTGGCTTTATCTACAGTGTTTCTTGGAGATCTTAATGCACTACCACTTTCCCTTCCACTTACAGGCAGGGCAACACTACTTGATTGCTTATTTTCTAATCAACTAGAAGGATGGTGTTTGTCCCCCAACACACTACATTAGGACCCTAATGGAATAATCTATCGAAAATCAATGAGCTGCATTTTCCCAGGCCACATTTTTGAGGATGTTGCACTTGGCTGTTCCTTCCCTCCCAAGAGACTTTGGAGGTGTTGAAGACTGCTTATTTCGTTGTAGCCCAATCGATAACCTCATTACTCTTTGTCAAGTTAAATCCAACTGCCCCAAGCAATGAAAGTCACAAGAAAGTCATCTGTGCCACCAGATCTCCGTGTAGACACTCCCTGTATGTCCAGTTATTTTCACCAGCATCTTCCTCGTGTCTGCCTCAGCCTTGACGGTCAATCTCATCTCAGCTAAATGCAATTTGGGCTTTTTATTGAATCACCATTTCTGAATCACACTGTGATTTTTTTTTTCATACAGTTTCATTCTTACACTGTAGCCATTCCAATCAAGTCAGTGGATTAAATGTGTTGAAAGTGAAACTAGGTCACTGCTAGCATTGCTGCTGCAACATCATATCATATCAAAAGATTAAATCTGTGAATAAATAAATTAAAATGAACAGAAAATATTTAGGGGTGTTTATTTAAAATGAAAGCAGCCACAGAAAAGTAGTATAATTTGATTTTTTTATTTTCCCCAAATTTAGTTAGTACAGTCAAGGATGACCAAAATGCATCAAGCCTGACCAGCAAGAGAAAATTGCATAGCTGTGGATGGAAATCAATGACAGTGGAGGGCATTTGAAAATTAAATTTTCTAATAATGACCCTGACTGTGGATGTCTAATTGGAGTCAAAGTCAGAGTGAATGATAATACGGACACCAACCTGTCTATTCACAGTTCCTTTTTCAGGCATGGAGTATGTCTGTGTGGAAACTCAAAGACTGAGCGTGCCTTGACATGAACGAGACAAAACATAATCAAAACACACATCGGGCCAGTGGGGAACAGGTGTGTTGGAGAAAGCTATTACATGGGTTTTGATGGAAAAGGATGAATTGGGTGCACATGAGAGCAAAATAAAAACAAACGACAATGAAAAAAAGAAAAAGAAAATCAAAAATCACATAGACAGCAACCTTTGCATGAAAAGATGCCGACGACTGGCTTAGTTTAATCGATGAAAGTAATCTATTACTATGCAAACCTGTGTGAAAACGTATTCATCCTGTACGACGAGTGAGTTGGTGTCTACGTGTCCAGGGAAGAGGTACTGTCTGTTGCCTTCTGTGCATCGCTGGGCTCTGCACTTCACATACTGAGCACCTGGAAAGAGACAAAAGGAAATCAATCAGAAGTTGATTACAACCATTTATCTTCAAACAGTACTTTGTATGCAGTGGAGCTGCTATACAGTATGTAAATCCAAAATCCACTCCAAGTTCATTGCTCTGGAACAATTTTCAGCTTGTGTAACAGTCAAACACTGACACTAGTCACCAAATACTTTTAAAATCCAAATTAGATTCAAGACTATTAGAGTCAAAGCTCTGGCAGCGTTACACGACAAAGTAAATTTCAAGATGTTATTGTGCCAGACAAGGAGAGGTTGTATGGTAATTCTGATACACATTTTCTCACCACAGGAGGAATATGAGCATCATTTCTAATGCAGGAGATTCCTTTAATTGGTTTGACAGAATAGACCACGCTGTTTAGAAAGGGGAAGCTGAGGTTTGTCTATGAAACTCAGGGGGGAGATTAACGAGAAGAAACATCCATCAGCCCACTAAAATTCTCCGTTTTTGTCAGGAGACACCTATTCTGCTTTACTAGACTTCAGGGACCAATCTGAACAGAAGAACAGGTCTCATCTTGCCCGTGACCTCGCTCTAAATGAGAGGCAAGGGGTCCTGTGGGTCTTGCTACTGCAGCAAACTGGAGTGCAGTACTCACGGCCTTTTCCGATGCGCGTCTCAATGTGGACCACATCTGATTCTCTGTCTAGCCCCATTACCGCCCTTGAAAGAAGAAGAGGAGGAGAAAATAAAGAGGAGCGGAAAAAGGTTGGTGGGCAAGAAAAGGAAAAAAATGCTCAGATGGACATCACTATTCTGTGAAACCCATAACAATATGTTTTTATTTCCTGTAGATCGGTCAATGTACGATCTGTGCCACCAGCGGCAATTAATCTCAATTCAACAAAAACAAAGGAAACGGCAAAAGAAGAGTAGTATGGCATGGCGGGGGGCTTGGCAAAACATCCCCCATTCCCATAAACACATACCATGGCAAATGTGTGTTTTTACAAAATTGTAGGAGGCTCCAGCCTTATTTTGAAAAATAACTATTTGGCATAATGTGCATGAAGAAATAGTATTCAAGTGGACAAATAATGCAGTGTTTCGAGTGCTGCTTCACCCGCTGCGCTCTTCTTATTTATCAAACATCTAACTGTTCATGCATGTGGAGAGGATGTCCTCCAACCAATGTCCTTTCTTTCCCAGCAAAAAACCCACTGGGTTTGACACATACTATGACAAACAGGGATAAACGGCCTCACATCAATATTCACTGCCTTGTGCCCGCACAGTCAAGATTACTAAATGACAGCGACAACAAAAACAGCATGTCATGTTTGTGCTATGGACAAAGAAACATATTCCTTCAGGTCTACGTGACGTGGATATAATCAGTTTCGAGCTCGACTGCTGTGTGTGAGATCTGCTTTTGACTAGAGGTCACAGGATCCCTCTAAGACTATAGAGTCGTGAACACTCTGATGATGCAAATTGCAATCACTGTACAGAAGGAGTTAAAAAGAAATACGGGGGTCGACATAATCATACCAGTAGAATCTGCCTGGCATCACGTTGTCATGAACAAGCTGCCATTTTCTCCCAAAGTCCATCGAACTGTACAGCTGCAAGACAAAAACAGGCTGATCTTCATCACGCGTACAATTTTCAGGAATAAGATGTTACTGAGCATCGAACATTATTTTATTCCCACTTTAAGTTTCATTGTGGATTCACTCAGAAGATACCTTGCTGTCATGACTATAGGCGAGTATCCAGTTCTCCTGCGCGGGATGGAAGAGCAGGCTCAGGATGTTGAAGTTAATGGGATGCTTTTCAAAGCTCGCCCCTTCATCTGAACTGATGAGAACAGCGCTCTCTACTTCTGGGTCACTAAGCACCATTATCTAAAGTACAAAGGGCCAGATGATGTGTATTTATACACACACACACACATATACATGTATGTGTAGGTGAGAGAGAGAGAGAGAACAACATTTAAAAAAAAATAATAATAAATTTCACGCCAGGAAGATGTAATAAGCAACAGGTAAATGCTAACCTTCTGTTTGTTGGTAGGGCAGACGTAGAGGTAACTTAAAACTGTCCTTGAACCCACTTTGTCGTTGAGTTTGGTGTAGGTGCTCCCATAATCAGTGGATCTGGACACAAACAAAAAACATTTCATGTCTGATGAAAAAAATCCATTAGAGACAAATTTGAAAGCCCCATAGCAGAGTGTTGGGATGTTTTAGCCCATTAACTGCAAATCACTTATTCTTTAGAAGACTCCAGAGTATACCATACTTTTTTCGATTGATTTTCTACCATTCGGGCAGCCTTTTGCTTTAAGGGATGAAAATCTACTTGCACAGTCTACATTCATGCTAATGTAGGTTTTGTTGCTCCTGCAAAGTGCTGCGTTAAAAAACACTGCTACACTAAAAACTGCCATTCATTGCAGCTCAGATTATAAAAGGACTAAATGTGTAATGTAATCAGAGGGTGGTGTTTGGCTGAAAAGCAGGGCTTTCAAGTAGTAACTGTAGAGCTAATTTTTACAGAAATATGCTGGATAAAAAGATAAAATTAATCACTGCTAAAAGTAACCCCACGGTGCTTTTAGCAAGTAGTGAGCGGGCGTCTATTTTGTTTGTTTGTATCTTATAAGATAAGATAAGATAAGATAGATAACATAGATAAGATAACCTTTATTAGTCCCACACGTGGGAAATTTGTTTTGTCACAGCAGGAAGTGGACAGTGCAAAAGTTATGAGGCAAAAATTAGAATACAATAAGAATAAATACAGTACACAACTGTACAGAATAGAATAAAATAAAATACTATATACAGTAGAATAAAATAAAATAAATATACAATAAGATAAAAATAGAATACAAATACAAATACTATATACAACTGAGTAAAAATACAACGATGACAGAAAGGAATATTGCACTTAGTATTATTGCATATGTATGGATGTGTGTGCTTGATCAGTTAAAGTCTTTGTTGTGGAGTCTGACAGCAGTGGGGAGGAAAGACCTGCGAAATCTCTGCGTCCCACACCGTGGGTGCCGCAGTCTCCCACTGAAGGAGCTGCTCAGTGCTGTCACAGTCTGCTGCATGGGGTGGGAGATGTTGTCCATCAGGGATGACAGCTTAGCCGCCGTTCTCCTGTCACTCACCACCTCCACTGGGTCCAGAGGGCATCCTAGAACAGAGCTGGCCCTTCGGATCACCCTGTTCAGTCTCTTCCTGTCCCCAGCAGAGATGCTGCCGCCCCAGCAGACCACGCCATAAAAGATAGCAGAAGCCACAACAGAGTCATAGAAGGTCTTCAGGAGTGGGCCCTCCACTCCAAACGACCTGAGTCTCCGCAGCAGGTACAGCCTGCTCTGCCCTTTCCTGTAGAGGGCGTCTGAGTTATGAGTCCAGTCCAGTCTATTGTTCAGATGAACACCAAGGTACCTGTAGCTGTCCACAGCCTCAATGTCCATACCTTGGATGTTCAGTGGTTGCAGTGGAGAATGCTTGTGCCTGCGGAAGTCTACCACCAGTTCCTTGGTTTTACTGGCGTTGATCTGGAGGTAGTTCAGCTGGCACCAGTCCACAAAGTCTTGGGTCAGACCTCTGTACTCCTTGTCGTCCCCATCAGTGATGAGGCCGACTATTGCAGAGTCATCAGAGAACTTCTGCAGGAAGCACTGGGTGGAATTGTGGGAGAAGTCTGCAGTGTAGATGGTGAAGAGGAACGGAGCCAGAACCGTTCCCTGTGGGGCCCCCGTACTGCAGACGACCCTGTCCGACACACAGCCCTGAGTCCTCACATACTGTGGTCGGTCGGTGAGGTAGTCCAGGATCCAGGTAGTGAGGTGATGGTCCACTCCAGAGTTCACCAGCTTGTCCTTTAGAACCGAGGGAAGAATGGTGTTGAAGGCACTGGAGAAATCAAAGAACATGATTCTCACAGTGCTTCCAGCGGTCTCCAGGTGAGCGAGGGAACGATGTAGGAGGTGAATGACGGCATCATCCGCTCCAATGCCGGGCTGGTAGGCAAACTGAAGTGGGTCCAGTGATGAGCTTATTAGGCGCCGAAGCTGAGCCAGGACCAACCGCTCCAGGGTCTTCATCAGGTGGGATGTCAGAGCCACCGGCCTGTAGCTGTTGAGGTCCTTGGGGCGTGAAGTCTTTGGCACTGGTACAACACAGGAGGTTTTCCAGAGCTGTGGGACTCTTCCCAACCTCAGGCTCAGGTTGAAGAGGTGCTCCATCACCCCACACAGTTGGTCCGCGCAGGACCTGATGACCCTCGAGCTGATGCCATCTGGACCCGCTGCCTTCTTGCCATTAATCCTCCTCAGTTCCCTCCTAACCTGGGTGGTTGAGAGAGACAGGCTGGAGCCTTGTGTTGAGTGTGTATTGGATGCTGTTGTTGGGGGTGGGGGGGAGTGAGCAGGGTGAATAGAGGAGGTGTGAAGTGTCTGAGGTGGAACAGCAGCAGTGGGGGTGGGTGAGTCTGCAGCCGATGTTGCAGACTGCCTCATGGCTGAGTCAAATCTGTTGAAGAAATGATTCAGTTCATTTGCCCATCTCACATCCCTCCCAGGCAGAGAGATCTTAGGCTTCAGGCAGCCACGCCAAGTATTTTGAGTGGTAAGTAGCAAAACCCAGCTTTGAAAGCAAGATGCTGAGTCACATACAAATTTGCACAGCAGTGTACATGCATATAAATAAATATTAATAAAAGTTAAAGCTTTGAAGTCAGCTTTAATTTAATTTGCTCTAACTAGCTGCAACATCTGCCTATTATTTTTGAAAATACAATTTCAGTATTTATATAAATATTTCCAAAACTTTAATTTGCTCTCCAGACTGTGGAGTCTAAATTGCAGATAACTTGGCAACTCATCACTTGTGTTCCAAGGGGGAAGCTAAGTTTTAATTACTCTACAATTGCGCTCACTAGCCACTTCATTAGTTACACCTGTTCAGCTGCTCGTTAAAGCAAATATCTAATCAGCCGATCAAGTCAGTGCATTTAGGTGTGAAGAGATGTTCACACTGAGCATCAGAATTGGGGAGAAATTTGATTTAAGTAACTTTGAATGGAGCATGGCTGTTGGTGCCAGACGGGCTGGTCTGAATATTTAAAAAATTGAGAGTACTTGGGTATTCCCATGGTATGGTCAGAATTTGGGGTAAACAACATGAAAGCATGGATTCATCCTACCTTGTATCAATGCTTCAAGCTTCTGATGGTGTAATGGTGTCAGGGATACTTTCTTGGCACACTTTGGGCCCCCTAGTACCAATTGGCAATCATTTAAACACCACAGTCTACCTGAGTATTGTCGCTGACCAGCAGAGTGGCAGAACTCAAATTATTTCAAACTGGTTTCCTGAACATAAAAAAATGGCTTCCATAGTCTCCAGATCTTAATCCAGTACAGCACCTTTGGGATGTGGCAGAAATCTGCATCAAATGTGTGAGCTTATCATGTCAGTATGGACCACAATCTCTGAGGAGTGTTTCCAGTAGAATTAAGGCAGGAAAAGTCTGTTTTTTCTTTGGCCCTTTGTTAAGATCAACTTTTGTTTAAGCATCAAAACTTATCAAAGGTTTTTAACAGCATTTAGGACAGGTGAAGAAGACAGCCAAGTCATTTTTGAGGCCTCCCTGGCTAGCAGTTGAAGGATTTGTATGCATGTGATAGAGGATTTTCCTGATTTTCCTTCTTAAATACTGCCAACTTCTTCCCGTATCACAATGTGAAGAAAGAATCTTAGAAAAGCTTCCTTGTAACTTTGGAATTTTCACTCCACCTTCAACCCTAAAAGGTCCAAATAGCTCATCCTTAATTATAGCAGCTCTTACCAGGACCCCTTTTCCACCTCCACCTCCGCCCGGTGCACTTTGTGTTTAGTAATCCAGCCACGGACACATCCGTCTGCTCCAAAAACAGTCACTGTCATTTCATCTTGTTCTTGTTCAGCCAGAACTGGAGGGGTTACCCACATTCTTCTGCATTTAATTTGTGCCATTTTTAACAAAACACTTCATTATTTGTTAGTCACTCAAAGAGGTTTTGCAAACATCTAAAAGTCACTGCATGGTTTTTGATATTTCCCTGTTATTTAAATCTCGTCATGGGCTACCTGAGATAATTAATTTGTCCAGTAATTATGAACACCTTAATAAACAGTTTGAATCAATTTAGCCTGCTCCCTCTCATATTACAGAAACATCACCTGAAAATGATAAACAGCAACAAGCTTTTAGGCTTATATGTTTTGGAGTTGAATAGTGTGCATAGAAATTATTATATGATGAATACTAACCTGCCAAGTGATTGTGCATGCAGTGTAGTTATATGAAGAATGATATGTAATTTAGCAACAATCGTGTAGCTTGAGGACTCACATGCACAGAAACAAGTATGCAAGAGACAGGATATGTATTATCACTGCTGACAAACATGCTATTAGTAGGCAATACAAATGCATGCTGCATGAAAGCTGTAAAAACAAGAAGGAACAGCTGAAATACAAAAAAGGTGCAGTGAAGGATGACATCAGCTAGTGAAGGTGAAGCCACTGTCGAAGCAAATTAATACATTTGGCTCAATGATTAGTTTGCCAATAAAGTGAAAGCAAGGCTAGTGTATGACATCACACTGCTGATTCTATTGATCAGCTACTGGTTCCAATAAAGCCAAAGGAAAGAGCAGACAACACTATTCACATAGGATTTGTATTGTCAGGGGAGCTTTATGTGACTTAGACATTTACCCAAAACACGGCATGTAAACTGTTGATTTGCTTGAATTGAATAACATGTCTGCTAGCCAGCTACAAAACTAATGTTACTATAGACTGCCAAATAACTACATTTGAGCTTGCATTTTGTATGAGTGGGTGTCCATGCTGTGTGGCAGAATTGATACCTGAGTTTGCATGCAAAAAGCAACGAAACATAAAGAGGCAAAACACAGGTGCACAGAAAAAAGACAGACATCACTGTGATGTCTCCATGCATTCGATTATTATGCCATGGCACTTCTGTATGAGGTAGATATTTTGCTGTGGACTAAATTACAGACATGTTACATCTAAAAAGGATTAAGATTATAGATTACTAGGAAATATTGCTATAGTAAAGAAACACAAGATTGCTAACTAAAGTCACTGCAACATATTTTTTAAAAGCTAGTTGTGCAAATATTTAAAAGAAATACCCATACCTTATAGGACATTTCTTGAACAAAGTTGTTTGGCCTCAGGAATACACATAACGTACAATATTGTGCAAAAGACTTTAGCACAGCCTAATTCCTTTACATTTTTACCCAGACTTTCTTGTATTTGTTAAAGTGTTCTTGAGCAATAGTTCTCAAAGCTTTCTGAATTTATTTTAAAGTTAATTTAAACTGGACATTGGCTGCTTTTTCACTGATTCTCGTCTTTGTAACTGACAGTTTACAGTGTAGCTTTTGTTTTGTTTTTGTTTGTTAAGCCTCTTAATACTGATCTATCAATCATTCAAATAAAAAAAAGGTGTTGCATCAGACAGCTTCGCAGAAAAAACTGTTTTAAATTGTATCTTTAGGCACTTTGTTACAAGCAGCCTGTTCCATAAACACATGATTTGTTCCCATTTCTTTAGCTGAATCTACAAACAATGGCAAAGATAACACAGTTTGACAGGCGTTAAATAGTATTTTTGCACCAACAAGGTGATTTGCAAAGAGCTCTTAGCTGAAAATCTTGACATGCTGTGCAGTGTTTCCTCAAGAAAATTGAGGAAACTGGAGAAATGGAGGACAAAGGAAAAGTGCCAGGTCTACAAAACTATCTACAGCAGAGAAAGAGTATCTAAAAGCAAAAATCCAACAAAGACCTGACACAGGACATGAAGAGGTACTAATATGAGTGTTTTATAGTAGTCTTTAAACATGGTGGACACTGTCACGGTTTAGGTCTGCATTTCAGCCACTGTTTGTTCAAGATCTGTTCAAAATTAATGTTATAATTAACATATAGTATTCTATATAGTATTGCTGGCAAACAAACACACTGCCAATGCAGTAAAGGCATACCTGGATAGAAGAACACACAATGGAACACTATCAGTTATGGATTATCCTACCGAGATAGCGGACCTCAACATTGTTCAAGCAGTGTGGGTTAAAGAGCAAACTTCAGGCAACATTCAAAGAAGAGCTTTGAATGACTTTCAGAAAGTCTGGAAAGCTATTCCTGAGGAATACTTGAAGAAATAACAAGAAAACTCGCCTAAGGGATTTTTTTTTGAAAATGTGTGTTGAAGAATGAAGATAGTCATACTGAAATATGAACTTTTACAAACTTTGTAGATTGGTGCAAACTCTGCTTCTTCCTAATACTGAATTTCTATATATGCATGTGCACATTTCAATAAACCGCTGAACCTATTTTTCCATTTTCCTAGCAAAATAGAAAGAAATGAGGTGTGACTCAAGACTGCTAGCCAAGACTGTACTTTGGTGAATAATATCAAATGTTAGAAAATTATTTTTATGAGAAAATTCCACAAGATACATTTAGCGTTTTGGGGATTTTATCAGGAAATTTGTCATCGCTGTAAGATGGTGTATATTTCACACCGGGGCTAATTTGAAGACTCGCGCGTTCGAAATCATTAAGGAAAGCTCACACTTTAAAGCTTTTTGACAACCAACAAGATAACATGAACGTCAAAAGAAGGAATATGATTTATGAGAGCCAAGTCTGGCAGATTTCTGCAGTGAAAAGTTGGGATAATAATCAGGCAGTTCTCACAGAAATCTGCAACAGAAATAATTTAACTCTGACAAAGACATCATGCAGACTAAACATCAATTCCCTGCATGTCAAACAAGTCTCTGCAAGCTGATTTAAACGATACACTGACATGTAATAAAACCAGGTACGGAATCAATTAATGAAGTCCAGGTATGTAATGGAAAATGTTAATCAGTAAATATAGAATATGCTGTTTGTTGTTGAAGGGCTAAATCATCCAGCATGACTACAGTCCTTGAATACAACATTATTCTGCGTAATGGACACATTGCAAGCTTACAGTATAAGAGTAATAACTCTCCTTTCATACTGTTTGTACATTGAAGGCTGTGAGGAAGGAATTTTGAAGACTTCCTTTCAAGTGCTGTGATGAAATCCCCTTTCATATAGCTTTTAATCTTAAATTAGAGCCAGAATTGCCTTTTATTCTCTGTGCTTTCAACTGATTTAGATATTTAGTTTCATCCTCTTTCATTAGGTTTTCTTTTCAGTAGGGAAAACTTAAAGTGCTCACATTATGCTTTTTGAGTTTCTCCTCTAACCCTTTAGTCTGTTACATGGCATTTTTTTGTAAATGTAAAAGGTTTTCAAAGTAAGAGAGGACAAATGTAGTTATTCCCTCCCATGGAAAATAGTGCTTCTGAACGGTTTGAAACACTTGTAGTTCAGGATTTTCTTCTCTTACTTATCTGTGCCACTACACAGCAGACTGTTATACTGCCCGCATGGAGGCAAGTTTGGCACACCCTCAAACAAAATGGACAAAACACTCTGAATTATCTGTTGCTGCTGAACACATGCATACCCAACAATGCAAGAAATAAAAAGTCACTGGATTACTTTTATTTTGGTGGCAATCTAACCCGCAACAATAAGAAAATCCTTATAAGTGCTAGCACTGTGCACAGCTAGTGTGGTTAACATTATTGTTTTATGCATTTGTTTCTCTGCAAATCTCTTTGCACTTGCATGTTGTACTTTGCTGAATTCCCAATAAAGCTACAGAATGCACATAAAACAGTGACACGAACACAGCCAATTTAGACCAACGCACAACATTATTTTGAAGCAATTTTTTAACCTGCTACTCGGTGCATCTAAAAGAATTGTAGCAGCAAGCTACAAATAGCAGTGATGCTGTGTTTTTTTTTTAATTTACATGTAAATTTATTGGTTAAGCTAAACCTTTTTGTTAACAGGCGACAGTTTTACATGTAACCCAGTGTTACCTTGCTTTGGACTAGCTAACTGACCAATCAGACCAATCCTTCCTGAAAGGTAGTTTAAAAGGAACAGGAGCTAAAGCAGAGTGTATAAAAATAATCTATGTTTAATTGATCCTTGTGGGGAAATTCCTCTCTGTATTTAACCCATTCACGCAGTAAAGTGGTGGGCAGCCATTGGGCTGTAGAACAGGGAGTAGTGTGTAAGGACAGTACCTTGCTCAGGGGTACCACAGGGTAGCCGTTCAGTGGATTCAAACCCCCGACCTTCCGATCATGGGGCCACCACTCTACCTACTGAGCTATCCCCGCTCTATGAGTATGAGTATCCCAGTACAGCCTGAGAAAAGCAGTGTTTTCTTTTAATATTAAAAATTTAATGAGACAGATTTTAAAATAAATGTAAATAACAACCAGCTGTATTTAAACGCAATCAGAAATTTAGATCTGTTGCATGTAAAGACACTTGCACAAAACTGCTATCCACAAAAAGGGGCAGATGTGTTCATCATCTTGGTTCTCATATTTCTCCTCAGCACAAACGGCCAAACCAAGCTTCAGTTTTACCTGAGTGCCTCCAAATGTAATTTCACTGTATAATTGGATAGACACCCAGTGTCTGCTATCATTGTCTGTGCATTAACTTGAATCGTTCCGTTTGCTGTTGACATTGTTTTCAAAGCCTTACCCTAAACGCATTTGTATTTGCGCTTAAGTACTGCTTTCAGCTGGCATATCGCTCTTTGATTGCAGTGGTGGAAGTAAGCCTCTTAAACGATGTTACTATATTGTGATGTTTCTTGGGCAGGAGCGGCAGGCGTCTCAAAACACAAAAGGCACTTGATGCGTGTTTAGATGGCTTCTGTAAGTCATCCGTTGATCCGAACACTGCGTCTTGCCACCAACAGAGGCCTGCATCTGTAGTCATAAATCATTTATTGTGTTATCACAGAAATCATTTACTCCCTTTTCTTTTCATAACATTCAAATCTCTGCTTTTCTAATACTCATACTAAGAACCTTTGTGCATCCCCGGAGGAACACTCTAATTTACTCGTGGTGCCATTGTTAAGCAGACACCTTGATGATGGAAGACCTCCTGTACACAATATGGGATTTCAAAATGTGTCAAGTCGGGTGTAAATCTTAGTGCCGCCTCTGGTGAAACAGATATTAATTTGAAACTCTATGCTTGGCGGACTGATGGTCTCTTTTTCACGTGTATTTCAGAATGAAATGAGTTCTCTGCAGGCTATGGCAGAGGTGAGAGAAAAGGCATATCAGAGGCTGGATTGGGCTCTATGGTATAATCCTTAATGAATTCCATTCTTATTTATGACCTGACAGGGCACTGTAACTCACCTCTCAATACATACTGAATGAAATTACTACGGCTATATAGCAGCAATTGCATGTCAATTGCTTCTGAAACAAAAGGTTACAGATGACAATCAATCAAAAACTCCATCACAAAGTTTCTAGGTCAGAGGAAAAGCACCACAGATCCAAACAGAGAATCCCTCAGATCATTCTTAAGGTTTATCTTTCAGAAATAGTCCTGCTGATGATGGACAGAAAATAGGTTGGGCCTTCTTTAAAAGGTTGTTGTGGTGCTAGTTGTGTTATTTATAGAACTCCAGCAAGCAAAAAGAGGATGGTACTTCAAGATGCTTTATTAAAACATACTTCATATTGGCTTCGAGTGAAACTTGATTGTTCGTATCCTAGCAAGGGAGAACACTATAAATCATGCTTACAGTATCCAGCACTCGATGAATATATTATTGTTGTTGTTCTTGGCTTGTGATTTTGCATTTTTATAAAATTCCTGCAGTGATACCGCAACCTTAATATTGGTATGCAAAGGAAAAGATAGCAGAGATTAAAAAAGGAAAACTTACCTCCAGAGTGAGCTCTCGGTAACACCCCCCAGATTGAAGTCATAGAGTTTAGTCAAGATCAGGATCACCTGCAACGTAACCACAACAGACATATTTAATTACAAGTCAAGATCTGCATTAAAAACCTTTGGCTCGGCAGCGCACATTATCTGTCTCCACCTAATGACTTGGAATAAATACAACATGTCTTTTCTTTGCTAATAAATATCAGGCTCATACAGTATGTTAGCCCAATGACAAGTGATCCTCATGTTGTCAGGAAATGTCAGTCGACTAGTGGCAGGATCTGAAAAAAGAAATCCATGAAGGCTGTCAAGAGTTGTGTCTGTATCTCATGTGGAATGATACCTACATGACAGAAAACTCTGAACATAATTGTTCAGTGAACAATGAAAAGAAATGCAGTCAGTGGCTGCAATGCACCATCCTCTCTCATTTCCTTTTTTTTTTTAAACTTCAGCTTTGCTTTTACCTTCAAAACATTTAAGTACCTTGGCTGCAAAAGCACCAACAAATCTCAAATGCTGATGTAAGTGTCACAGAAATGGCTTATGTATAAAGAAGTTTAATAGATGGTTCCAGCAGTTAAAATGTTCTTGCTTGTACGTTTCTGTGGCCAATATTGTAAGGGTGTGTTTATCTTGTCAGAAAGAACAGGTTTTGTTACACCGCTATTATCGCGAGGTTTGGGCGTGATAGTATAGGCTGTGAGCCCACGTTTAATAATCACGCTAAGGAGTCCAGCGAGCTATCTGCAAAGGCCTGGTTAGTCTACCAGCGGTACAAGGTATTTGTCATTTGCCATAACTGTATTGTGATATTGTAAAAATTTGTAATGTATGGTGTTCTAATTATTTTATGTTTTAATTTAGAATGCACAAGACTGTAAAGCTATTCTTCTAGGACCTCCGAAGTGGCAGGCGGCCACGAGGTAATTTTCGTTGTTAAAGCACAAGTGTTAATTTTGATAGACTGAAGCGCTTAAAGTCTTTGTGTTTTATGTTTGTAGTTTTCACGGCGTTCAATAAATGCAGCGAAGCGCCCGTCTTGAAGAAGCCGTGCCTGTGTTGTCATTTCGGAGTTACAGTGAAAACTCGCCCTAGCCAGCGCCGGTGAGAAGCTAATTACGAAGACGGCAGCTGCAGAGAGCGACGGTGAACTGGAGCGACACAAGAGGGCGCCATTGCATAAGCTCACCGTTCTCAAGCAGCCAAGCACAGCGGCAACAACGTTGTACAACTGGAGTAAGGTGGAAATTAATAAGGGACAGTGTTAAAGGTAGAATAATAGTGGTTTAAGTCAAGTTAAAGAGCCACAATAAGTTTCTATAATACATTTGTCAAAGTTTATTTATTTCTACTGTACTTCAAGGTGATGCTTTGTAGTTTGGTGAATAGTTCTGTGTGCTTGCTTAAGGTCAAAGTTTGAGTGAAGTTTACAAGGTCCTGTAAGAAAAGGTGCACTTAAAGTATACAGTATTTGAAATCTGAACACAGTGCGCTTAATGACATTTAACTAGACTCCCGAGATGGTTGACAAAGATCTCGAAGAGCACCATGCTGTATCACTTACCGAAGTGGAAGAAAATGATGATGAACAAATTACAGAACTACAGACTGTTCGTAAAAGTGAAAGAGTAAGAACACTAACAGAAAAGGGTAAAGAGCTTCAAGAGAAGAAACTCAAAGGCCTCCAACACAGATATGCTGTTGTTTTTGAAAAATGGAGATATGAAGCAAGATTGAGCAAAGTAATATTAAGAAATGAAGTTTCCGAGAGTGAATTGAATGAGCTCATCAACAATGTAAATGTTGCCTGCAAAGATGTACAAACCATTTATGAACAAATACGGCAAACACAAACTCCTGATGCAGATGAAAGACGCAAAGTGGATGCATGTACGTCACTTTCCTTGTTCATTGTCAGAAGAGCTGAAAAACACTTACAAGGAGACCTTGCAGATGGTGATGAAGAGCCATGGCCAGATGTTGGATCATGCTTAGGATCTGAAAGTACTAAATCAAGGTCAAAATCACGAAGGTCTAAAAGTGGTTCAAGCCAGTCATACTCACAAACAATTAAAAGAATAGAAGCAGAGGCTGAGGCAGCTGCGTGTCAGGAAATATTAGCAGTAATGGAGGATCAAGAAAGGGAAGCAGCTGAACTAAAAAAGTTGGAACTTGAAAACTTGGAAAGGCAACAAACAATGGAGGAGCAGCGCAGAAAGATTGAACGCTTGGAAGAGGTTAAAAAATTTAATGCTGCAAGAGCTAAAGTAAAGGTTTATGCAGAAGCTGAAAGTATTTCAGAAAGTCGTAGTTTAGTGCGCAGTATCAAAACTGAGAGCGAAACCTCAGCAATCCCTGCTCCACCACAAGTTCCCTCTCAAGCTCCAAATACAATCCAAGCCCATAATGCCACAAACCCTGCATTTGTTCCACATACTCCCACAGTCATAAACCAAGCCCAACAAAACCCTGGTGTGCAACCTAAGGGCACCACAGGCCAAGCAGGAAACGCATCAAGTCCGCCATTTATCCCTAAAGCAACACAAGCTGCCGCTTCAGCAACTCATCCACAGCCAAACTTGGATCTAGTCGGCATACTAGCAGACGCAATAAGTGCTAATCGTCTTCCAACTCCGGAACCTGCACTGTTCACTGGTGACCCTTTAAAGTTCAAGGACTGGCAGTTGTCATTTGAGACCTTGATTGAAAGAAAAAACATTCCAAAGAACGAAAGACTCTATTATCTCAGGAAGTACCTTGGTGGACCCGCAAAGAGAGTGGTTGAAGGATTTCTCCTAGTGGGCACAGATGAAGCGTATGATGCAGCTTGGGAGGTGCTGGAAAGGCGCTTTGGAGATCTGTTCACTATAGGGAAATGCTTCAGAGACAAACTTCACAGTTGGCCTAAAATAAGCTCCAAGGATGGAAGTGAGTTGAGAGAGTTTGCTGACTTCCTTAGAAGTTGTGAAGCTGCGATGCCACACATAAAGACATTAGAGGTTCTCAATGACTGTATGGAAATTCAGAAACTCTTGCTGAAACTTCCAGACTGGTTGACAACAAGATGGAATCGCGCAGCGATGAAAATAAGAAAAACCCTTAATGGAGAGTATCCATCATTTCACATGTTTACAGACTTTGTATCCACTGAAGCAGACCTAGCATGTGACCCCATAGCTTCAATGCAAGCACTCAAGGGTTTGGAAATCAGTAAACCCAAACACTCACGCAGCCAAGTCGTTCAAGCTAAAACATTAACCGCAACTTCAAGTCACTTAACCACCTCAAGTCACATAAATCCCATGACCTGCCTTTACTGCAAAAGAAATGGTCACACACTGGATAAATGCTTCAAATTCATGGAAAAATCAGTCCAGGATCGTATCAAGTTTGTACAAGTAGAAAGGCTGTGTTTTGGATGTTTGAAGGGGGGACATCATTCTAAGAAGTGTGATAAAAGGAATACGTGTGAGAAATGCCAGAAGAAGCATCCCACGTGTCTGCATGATGACAAGTTTGTGGAGCGTAAAAGGATAATGCCTGCACCGAATGATAACTCTCGAGACAAGGACGAAGGAGATGAACCAGCAACCGCAATCTCTAATAGAGTAACTCAAGTAACTTCGAGCACACTGACATCCTCCATTCTACCTGTCTGGGTTTCATCAAAAAATCACCCAGACAGAGAAGTTCTAGTGTATGCCCTCCTCGATTCTCAGAGCGATACATCCTTTGTCTTGGATGAAGTAGCCCAGGATCTCGACACAGATAAGAGTAAGGCTCATCTAAGACTATCGACCATGTCCGCCAAGTCAACAGTCATACCATGTGAGAAACTGGTAAATCTTCAAGTTAGAGGCTACAAGCAGGAAAAGAGAATTACATTGCCACCGGTCTATACAAGAGAATTCATCCCTGTGAACAGATCACACATCCCGACGTCTGAAACTGCTTTGAATTGGCCTCACCTCGAAAGGCTGGCAGATAGGTTACCTCCAATGCTTGAATGCGAAGTTGGTCTGCTTCTCGGCTATAACTGTCAGCAAGCCCTTCTTCCACGGGAAGTCATTGCAGGTGAGGAGAATCAGCCTTACGCACAGCTAACTGATCTCGGCTGGAGCATAGTTGGTTGTACGTCTCAAGTTCAAAATCACAATGATGATATTGGCATAAGCCACAGAATCATTGTTCGAGAAGTTACTCCTGCAGTACAACAAGCAGTTGAACTCAGGCAAGAAGTGCATTTTGTATGCAGAACTCAAGTGAAGGAAGTGGGTCCAGCTGATGTAATAAAGGCTTTGGGATCTGATTTCTCTGAGCATGAAACAGATGACAATCCAGTCTCTCAGGAAGACATTTTGTTCATGTCAAAGGTGACTAAAGGCATAAGGCAAAAGGAAAACGGTCACTATGAACTCCCATTGCCACTCAAAACCGACGACCCGAATCTTCCAAACAACAAACAATGTGCTGAGCATAGACTGTCGTCGTTGGAACGTCGGCTCAGAAGAGATGAGAAATACTATGAGGATTACGTCAAGTTCATGGACGACATCATAACCCGTGGAGACGCAGAGAAGGTCCCAGAGCAAGAACTGGATAAGGAGGCAGCATGGTATATACCACACCATGGAGTATACCACCCCCACAAACCTGAGAAGATACGTGTGGTTTTTGATTGTTCGGCCCGTTTCCAGGGGACATCTCTTAACGATCACCTTCTGACTGGACCAGATCTTACCAACGCACTGATTGGAGTGCTATGTCGATTCAGAAAGGGCCCCATCGCCATCATGTGTGACGTGGAGAGGATGTTCCACCAATTCCACGTCATCAAGGAGCATCAAGACTATTTGAGGTTTCTTTGGTGGGACAAAGGCGATTTAAACTCTGAGCCTTCAGTGTACAGGATGAGAGTGCATCTTTTTGGAGCAGCTTCATCTCCCGGATGCTGCAATTTCGGACTCAAACATATTGCTTCTCAAGGTAGAAACAGATTCAGCGAAAAGACTATTGAGTTCATCCAAAGAGGTTTTTACGTCGATGACGGACTCGCTAGT